GCCCATAGTGTCATCTGATGTTTGTACGCAGCTGTATTGAATGTACTGCCTCAAGTTGCTCTGACAATAGTCTTTGCATGTGTAAAAAATATTTGCTCTCTGAATAACTAGTTTAAGTGGTGGAGAGCAACATTTGCAACTTTGAATGGACTAATTTTTTATAGATACTATAAAGTTACGAATTCACTTGCAATATAATTTGGATACTCTGTACTTTCCAGTAAAGCCTAAGATGGTAAGCATCTAGTAATGCATGCCATGTCACTTTTACCACTTAATAAATATTATAACTTTGCAACTTACCTATTAGTCCAGGATCATATATCAACATCCAGATACTTTTTATAGTAAATTTTATTTTCTTTTGATTTATGGATTCTAGGGTATTCCCATGTTTGATTGCTAGTACATGTCCTCTTAGATTCAGCGATTGATTTTTGTTTATATTTTCATGCAGAACGTTCACTCAAGTAAGCACCCAGTGGCAGGATACCGACACCATGAGAGAAGAGCTGGATGATCTTCAGGTTGCTGCTTTGTCATTGCTCTTCATTACAGCTTCTTGTTATGTTCCAGTCTTAAATCCTCTCTGGTTATTTGTGCACCATTTATTGCTTTTAATACCAATTTCCCCACTCTGACACCACTATACCAATCGAATACAATAATTTTTTTCCGAACGACGAAGGAGAGATGTGTGTCATTTCATTAAAGAGAGAGTACTAAATGAGTAATGTACGATGCCACACACTCAAGACCCAAATACTATAGAATAACTGAAACATGTGCACCATGCTTGAACAAAGGATATGGCCAAAGTGCAAGAACACCGACCCAGGGCAGAAGCCCTGGCTGTACACCATAGCCGCCCTTCTTCCTCCTCCTCCTCTAGCGTCCACACTACCAAGTCAATTATGATAACAGGACACAAGAGCCTTGTGCACTATTTTCCTTGCCATTTTACTTCTACAGAGTTGGGTTCCATTGTGTTAAGCTCAGCAATTACTCCATGTTTAAAATAATATACAAATTAGTAGAATTTATAAGAACTTGATCTACAGACATAAGTTACAGGAATTGCAGGGTAATGTTTTTGACAGTGTAGTTGATACTATTACCAGCATCTAATGGATTGCAGCAGGCTTGTGAAGTATCTTGATTCTTGAGTAGAATAAACACTTTTGTAAAATAGTTTAAAATAAGAACACTTCCAAAATTCTGATTTTCAAAGGGATGGAAGTGGACTAAATAAATTCCTCACTGAATTGTTTGACACATGTAAGTATTATCACGATAGCTAATATATATGCATTTTTAACTTGATTTCTCGCTTGCATTTGCAGATTTTTCTGAGCACCAGATGGGCCATCTTGTTAAATTTGCATGCTGAGATGTTTCGGACAAATACGTATCCCACTTTTTGTGTTTGAACATCACAATTGTTTGCTTTTATAAGCATTCTATATGAGTTCTTTCAGATGATTTTGTTTCAAGTAGTAGGAAAAATATGCAATTTCATAATTGATAAGTTTTGATACATTTACAACAAAGATAATGTCTCTTGTAAGTTTTCTTGCTGTAGGTGAGAGGTTAAGTAACTTTGTATGATTGGCTGAATGCATTTTTTTAATTTTTTTAGAGCATGTTGAGAATTTAGCAACACAACCCTGCACTTGAATTTTTTTAGTGAAAACTCACTTATTGGAACACCTTTTAGATGTCCATAATACAAATCTGCACACCAGTATCATAGATTCTGTGCTTGTAGCTGAGCTGTCTAAGTAGCTGATTGTTAGTTTATGTAAGATTTCATATGGCTATAAATTCTGCTTGTTGCTATGCACCTGTTACTCTAGAACAGATTAATTTTCATGCCTGTGGTTGCTTCATTTTATTTGTCAATCGTTGTTGATTTTCTTAACTTAAAACAACAGCGTTGAGGATATTCTACAGGTTCTTATAGTATTTTGTGTGGAGTCATTGGAATTGGACTTTGCTCTTCTTTTTCCTGAGCGCCATACCCTACTCCGTGTCCTCCCAGTTTTGGTTGTCCTAGCAACCTCATCAGAGAAGGAGAGTGAGTCGCTTTATAAGAGGGTGAAGATAAATCGTCTTCTCAATGTTTTTAAGGTTTGATCATCTCCTTGTAGATATCCACTTAAGTCTACTTATAATTAGAATTTTTGGAGGAGTTGATGTTTATCTGATTATGCTACTTCATATTTTTAAACTTGTTGTTGCTCTTACCTTTTTTTTACAGAATGACCCAGTGATCCCGGCATTTCCAGATCTGCATCTCTCTCCTGCTGCAATTTTGAAGGAATTGTCATCATATTTTCAAAATTTTTCGAGTCAAACTCGTCTCCTTGCTCTTCAAGCACCTCATGAAATTCAGGGTCGAGAGCTACAAGAATATCCTTTCTGCTGAGTTTTCTAAACATTTTTTCACAAATGGGTTCAAACAAATGCTGGTTTCTTACCTGGACAGAGTCCCTATTATGTACTAAAAACAGATCCCCATGATTTATTCCACATAAAGGCAAATGGAATTTTGTCAGAGCCGGAAGCGCAACCAGAACGAACTAAATTTGCATATGGTAGGTCATAGTATGCTTGAAATTCCTTAACTAAACCACTTATCAGAGGCATTACTTGATTTTGAATCACATGGGAACTATCAGAGCTGAGCATGACGACTTCTCTATACGTTTTGCCTCTGCTATGGATCAGGTAAAACATATAAATTTTTTCATTGCATCACTCTATTAATATTTTTTCTAAAATAACTGTAAAATTGATATTGCACGAGTCATGAGCCATTACTATCGCTGTCCTTATGGATGATAATCACTGTCTGAACATTGTTTCCACTATTGCTCCCAACTGAATTCTCTATCTTTAGTTTGATGAAACATATATTTGCACTATACCATATTCATTGAGTCGTCAAAACGAAAAGAACAACTTAAAAAAGTATTTCATTTAACACTGAGATAGTAACACTTATTTGTCTTTGGTGTGCTCTTTCATGCACTGATATTGATCTGTTCTTTCAGATGATAAGATTGAAGTCATCGGATGGCGTGGATAATGACTGGTCCCGAGATATCAAAGGGAACATGTATGATATTGTTGTTGAAGGCTTCCAGCTTCTTAGTCGTTGGACTGGCAGGATTTGGGAACAATGTGCCTGGAAATTCTCTCGCCCTATTCCAGATTCGCAACAAAACCCCACGACATGTTTTGACTATGAAAAGGTCTTATCCACTTCACTGCAATCAGTTCTCACTTTTCTACAACAAGTTCTGATTGCTTCTTGACTATTGAAGCTATTATAAGTTACATAATTCCATTTCCTTATGCTGCTGGTTGTTTAAGTGCTGATCTTTTGTAAAGAAAATAACGGTGTACTAATGTACTGTATCAGTATAGCCATTCCCTTTCCTTTGTAGTCAATGCTGTTGTGAATTAGATTATGGCACCCTACTGCTCATTTTGGACCAACCAGGCAGTGCTAATTGGGAACTAGATTTATAGTGATTAGTTTCCAAATTTGTTGGGTTTGTTCCGTTGTAAATATATTCCATGTATTTTAGGTAAATTTCCTAAGTTTAGGTCTATGAATGGGTCACATTCCATTGGAACTAAGAAAGAATTCCTTTTCTTTTATTTGTTATCTTTCATTCTCTTAGTTCTTTTATCCGAATATACTCCCTTCGGTTTCCTAAAGGATGTCGTTTTGAGGTTGTCTTAAGTCAAACATTTTAAACTTTAACTATAAATAATTTCTTTTGGATTGAGTTTGAAAATATGAAAGTGGTGTAAGTAGATTCATCTCGAAATGTAGTTTCATAAAAGTATATATTGACTATATTTTATAGCAAAAATTAACGGTCAAAGTTGTTTTTTGGAGACCGTGTCGCTGTCCAAAACGACATCCTTTAGGAAACCGGAGGGAGTATGTGCCTCTTGAGTCCTCGGAAAATTTTAATATTTTATGAACCTTGGGGGTTATGTACATGAATGATTTTGTCTTCAGTAAATGGTCTGCCTCATAACATTTTAAATGTTCTGTCACTCTGCTGCTTATAGTTTTCTTCATTACAATGTAGGCTTTGTTATTTAAACATGCATTGTGGTGGAAAAGTTATGTTAGTAATCCATTAGCGTTGCAAAATTCTCTTTTGTTTTCCTTGATTTGTTTTTGGTGTTGCGATAAAGTATTTATAACTTCGGAACTCATAACTACAATATGAATTTTCACCTTTTTGTGTTCATGACTTGATGTTTATTGCTTATTTGCAATGCAGGTAGTACGCTATAACTATACTGCTGAAGAAGAACGAAGGCTCTGCTTGAATTAATTGGTTACATAAAGAGTATTGGATTGATGATGCAGCATTGTGATACTTTAGTGTCTGAAGCTTTGTGGGAAACAATACACATGGAGGTCCAAGATTTTGTACAGGATAAACTTGATACTATGCTTCGTACAACATTTAGAAAGAAGAAGGACCTTTCTCGGTAAATAATTCTGTCTCTTTCAACCATCTTGTTGTTTACTTTACAGTGGACATTGTATATATGCTATCCAAAGTTCCAATGGGTTCAGACATTTCTGATTCTCTGTTTTATTGATTTTGTGATTGACAGTCTTTGAACTGGATCTTGTGTGACAATGCACTCCTATTTTGAGAATGGATTTGAAAAACTAAAAAGTTTTACTCATTTTCCTTTGTATTCTTTCAGGATTCTCTCTGATATGCGAACCCTCTCAGCAGATTGGATGGCCAACACTAGTAAGGCAGACCCAGAGCAGCACTCACACCAAGAAACTGAGGAAATGAGACAAAACACATTTTACCCAAGACCAGTTGCACCAACAGCTGCACAGGTTTCATTCATGTTTTTGAGTATGCAATGATCTATCAATTTAAGTTCTTAGCCTCTGCATTGCCTGACAAAGTTCGTGTTCGAACATTTCCCCCAGTGCTCATACAATACTCTTCAAGATTGTAGGAGGCTAGGTGACAATGTTTTAGGACAAACTGCATTGTTACTTTTTATTGATTTCAGTAGTATAAAATGGGAAAACTACAGTAGGAAATCATCTAGACTTGACTCATCTTTTCTTATTATTGACTTTAGTTTTGGAAAACTCTCTTAACTGTCGTATTCAATCAATGCACATCCTTATTACACTCACTTGAAAAGTAAATAAAAAGGTTTGTCTACAACTTTTATTCTTTGGAACATTTATATTTTTGGCAGGGTGGGTTTTGGGAGGTTGGGGGGTTAATGTCAGAAAGTAGCTCATTTTAACAATTAACTGGTCATAACAAACTGTAAAGTTGTCACTTCATTTCTTTTATTTATTTATGCTGGAACATTTGTTGTATTTTTGTATTCTACTTAGAATTTCTTTTGTTTACTGCACTGCTGACGTAACTATTATTGTTGTACTTTTACCAATACTTTTACAGATTCATTGTTTGCAATTTCTTATATGTGAGCTTGTATCTGGTGGTAATCTGAGAAAACCTGGAGGACTATTTGGGAATAGTGGCTCTGGCATACCTGTGGAAGATCTTAAACAACTAGAGACATTTTTCTACAAGCTTAGTTTTTTCTTGCATATTTTGGATTATACAGGTGCGTACTTGATCTGAGTCAATCTTAAAGATAGCAATTCGCATGCACTTAAGAGTTCTGTGGTAACATTTCATATGTTTCATATTTTAATCAAGGGGACATATTCAACTAACCTTCATTTCACTACTCTGAATTTCAGAAATTCATATTTACTGTTTGTTTATCCTGTTGCTTTGGAGTGTACAATTAACTGCTACCCTTTTTTGGTATATATGCAGCGACTATTGGTACTCTAACTGATCTTGGGTTTCTTTGGTTCAGAGAATTTTACCTTGAATCTTCTCGTGTCATTCAGGTGGAGCATTTTTTGTTTTCCTCTTTGAAGTATAATGAAATTGTAGATGGGAGGAACTATTAGTGAGAATTCAGATGTAGATTTTTTTAAGCAGCTTGTTGTAAATACTAATAGTGCAGACTAATACTAATTTATGTCTTGGTGACAGTTTCCAATTGAATGCTCGCTCCCGTGGATGCTGGTGGACCATGTCATTGAATCACAAGATGCTGGTCTTCTCGAAAGCATTTTGATTCCATTTGACCTTTACAATGACTCTGCTCAACATGCACTAACTTCTCTCAAGCAGAGATTTCTTTATGATGAAATTGAAGCTGAGGTAGGCAGTTACTATTGTGTCTTGACTATCCATTCATGCACTTCCATATTTTGGTAGGTGCCAGACATGTTCTCCCTCTTAACTGTGTTTTTGTCATTGTAGCTTTCTTGCTGAATATATTCAACCAAATTAAAATATTAAACGATATTAACTTTCTCAGCTATGTAGCATCAAAACTCATATTGGTTCATGTTTAGGCTGGCAGTGGTGTTTTAAGTCCTGCATGGTTAGTCTAGTTGCATTGCATATGATTATATGAATCACCATCTAGGAAGAAAGCAAGGTGGCGGTGTGGCTTGGGATTACCCATGGTCATAGAGTCAAAATTCTATCATCATGCATTTGCAAACTTCTTACCTGTATTACTTGTGCACTGCCCTGTAGGTTGATCTTTGCTTCGATCTTCTTGCTCAGAAGCTTAATGAGATCATCTTTACATATTACAAGAGCTGTGCAGCAAGGTATCAACCTTTTCATCTGTTTCATCCATTTGTATACGCAGAAAGGAGTTGTACTACAACATTATAAAAAATGTGCCAATAATTTTGAATAAAATATCTATTGATTCTAAATGTCTCTTGTACTGATCTTTGCCTTCATATGCAGTACTCTTCTTGATAGTTCATTTACATATGCATGCGATGATGGTGAGAAGTACTTTGTCAAACCTTTGCGATTTGACGCGATTTTCAAGTTAAGGAGAGTAATGGTAAGGACTCAGCTCATATGATTTGGTTCAGGGTATAGTTTTGCTTTTGCTATTAAACCAACCCTTAGTTTTGTTTGATTCATTTTTATCATCTGTCATTTTTTGCTTTGTCTCATTAGTGTTAGAAGGAATGAAGCTCACTCTATTCCCGGGGGCAACAGCCCAAACATGTACATGAGTTGGGCATATATGCATCTAAGCCCTTATACAAAGAGGAAAATATGCTATACACCATATATATCTAACCCCCCCCCCCCCTCAAACTCAGGGTGAATCACAAACACTGAGTTTGGAGAGAAAGAAACGATGTTGAACTCGCGTTTGCGACTTGGTGAAGAAATCAGCCACCTGGAGCTCGGAGGGCACATAGCGAAGAGCAATGACATCATCCTGCACCTGAGCCCGAGTGTAATATGCATCAACTCCAATATGCTTGGTGAGCTCATGCTTCACAGGATCACGAGCTATATTGATAGCACTGGTACTGTCGGACAGAAGAGGAGCGGGCGTAGAAACTGAAACACCGAAATCCTCAAGTAACCATCGAAGCCAAGTAACCTCTGCTGTCGCAAGAGCTATAGCTCGCAACTTAGCCTCTGCACTCGAACGAGAGACCACGGTCTGCTTCTTTGTCTTCCAAGCAATGAGAGAGCCACCAAGAAAAATACAATAGGCAGAAAGAGAGTGACGATCAGAGTCACTAGCCCAAGTAGCATCAGAGTAGGCTTGGAGTTGAAAAGAGCTAGAACGCGGGAAGAACAGACGACGAGTAATGGTCCCACGAAGATAACGCAAGACACGAAGGAGATGGCTATAATGGACATGGGTGGGAGAAGAAACAAATTGACTAAGAATGTGCACAACATATGAGATATCAGGACGGGTCATAGCTAGATAGACAAGACTCCCAACAATATGACGATACCGAGTGGGGTCGGTGAGAGGTTTACCATCAGTAGGACGGAGTTGAAGATTAAGCTCGATGGGAGTCTCAACAGTGCGATGATCAGTGAGGCAAGAGCGAGCAAGAAGATCCTGAATGTATTTTTCTTGGGATAAGTAAATGCCATCAGAGGTGGAAGAGACCTCAATCCCAAGGAAATAACGAAGAGGACCAAGATCAGTCATAAGAAACTGTTCGCTGAGGCGTGCCTTGACAAAGGCAATATACTCAGAATCATCACCAGTGATAATCATATCATCAACATAAAGAAGAAGAAGAGTGCGACCACGAGGGGATGTGTGAATAAACAAGGCAGGGTCATGATTGCTTGGAGAAAAACCAGCAGCAATGATCACAGAGGCAAAGCGCTGAAACCAAGCACGAGGAGCTTGTTTCAGACCATAAAGAGAGCGACGAAGACGACAAACCATGCCCTCAGGAACAAGATACCCAGGAGGTGGTCGCATGTAGACCTCCTCACGGAGTTCACCATTAAGGAAGGCATTTTTGACATCAAGTTGAGAAATGGACCAAGCACGAACAGAGGCCACAACAAGGAGAGTGCGAACAGTGGTCATGTGAGCCACGAGAGCAAATGTCTCATCATAATCACGACCATACTCTTCTTTGAAAACCACGAGCAACAAGACGAGCCTTATAACGCCGAGAGAGCCATCGAGTGAGTCTTGATCTTATAAACCCACTTGCGTGATGGGACGAGCATGAGAAGGAAGAGGACAAGGTCCCAAGTGCCAGTCTTGGCTCAAGAGCAGCAATCTCCTCAGCCATGGCTAGTTGCCATTCAGGATGACAAATGGCATCATGGTATGTGGCGGCTCGAAAAAGACAAAGTGCAAAGAAAACCATACCTATCAAGAGGCTTCATGAGCTACGATCGCGAAGATTATAATGAGAGGAGGGCTGAGATAAAGAATCGTCAACCGAAGATGGCTCAACAGGAGAGGAGACATCAGAAGGCAACTCAACAGTGGCGAGGAATCCGTGAGCCGCAGGCGATCGTAGGTGTGAATCACGGAGGTTTGGAATCATAAATGGACCGAGGAGCATGTGAAGACGACTCGGAGGGCGTGGAGGAGAAGGTGGAGGAGGTGAAGATGGTTTAGGAGGTGGAGATGGTGACGGAGGAAGAAGCCACAGGTGGAGATAGGTGTATCGGGAAAAGTCAAGAAGGACAGAGGCTCAACAACGGCTGAGGGAGAAACATCGAGAGGAGGGCCGAGGATAGAAGGAATGAGACTCATCAAAAGTAACGTCCCGAGAGATCCGTCTGACGACGCGTCGGGTCCCAACAACGATAGCCCTTGTGCTCGGCCACTATAGCCTAAGAAAACACACTCAATGTATTGATGTGTGAGTTCAAGCACGTTCACGAGGAGCAAGAAGAACATAGCACGTACATCCAAAAAGGCGAAGACTAGAGTAATCAGTGGATGTCCAAAAAGGCGCTCATATGGGATGCCACCTTTAGAAGCGTATGAGGGTTGAATGTTGGTTAAATAGTCGGCGGTGGAGATTGCTTCACCCGTAAATGAGGTGGGACCGAGGAAGCAATCATAAGAGCACAAGCAGTTTCAAGAAGGTGACGATGTTTACGCTCAGCAACACCATTCTGAGCATGCGCACCAGGACAAGAAAATTGTGAGAGAGTCCCTTGCTTAGAAAGAAATTGGCGAAGAGCACCCGAAAGATATTCCCCGGCAGAGTCAGCCCGAAAAACACGAATAGGAGCATCAAAATGAGTGCGAATCATCCGAGCAAAAGTTTTATATATGGATAACACCTCATTACGATGTTTCATGAAATACACCCATGTGAAGCGAGAGAAATTATCGATAAATATGACATAATATTGATGACCCTCTTTTGAAACAAAAGGTGCAGGACCCCATATATCTGAATGAACAAGATCAAAAGGACGCTGTGACACAGACCCACTAGAGGGATATGGAAGCTGGATCTATTTGCCAAGCTTACGTATACGACACCGATCTAAAGAAACATCACCAGAGACATTTCCTAGAACACCACGACGGACAAGAGCGGATAAGCGGGAACCACATAGATGTCCCAAAAGATGATGCCACTTGAGCAAAAAGAGGAAGAAGCCGATCGCGCAGAGAAGCAGAGCTCACAAGACCGTGCAGAGGCAGCGGAAGGAAGAGCGAAGCCAATCGAGTTCCCAGAGATGCGGAGAATCACGGCGGTAGGGCCAATACCAACTAGGAGACCCGTCTTTGAGATCCTGTATACAGAAGTGTTAGAATAAAAATAACACGGCAACCATGATCGGTGAGTCGGCAGTGAGAAATAAGTTGCATGGTCAAATCAGAACATAAGAAACATTAGGAACATGAAATGAAGGAGAAAGAGTGCCCACCAACAACCAAAAAGAGATGAGCCATCAATGAGCTTGAACAAAGGAGAGGAATGGAAGGAGAGCAAATAGAAGAAAGAGAGGTACTATCGGTGTCATATGAAAAGAAGCACCGTAATCAAGAATCCATGGCAAGATACACAAGTGGATGGTGGTCTCTCAATAAAAGACCGAGAAGTAGCAATGAGAGAGTAATCAAGGCGGGGAGTGATGAACCAGCAGACTCCAGAGTGACAACCCAGAGGCTCCAGAGGGTGGAGGAATAGGTGGAGGAACAAAGAAGACGACCAAGTAACATGAGTATCTCCTCTGTGTGCATCGGGATGTTGAGACCGAGCATGTGAGGAACGCCCACCTCGGCGAGACCGAGACCGAGCCTCGCTTCTTCTTCGTGTAACAATGATCCTCATCATGTCCATCTCTGCCACACAGGCTTACAATGAAGGCCACCTGAGTTGCGAGTCCCTCGAGCCACCGTGAGGTCAGCCAAGCGAGCACTTTGGGAGGAGAACCAAGAATTCCGCATCGAGCAGCCAGGGGGCGAGGAGGATGTCGGCCCAAGTAGACCAAATAGAACGGGCGAAGTCTCCTCATTACTGAACAATGAGCAAGAGCCTCCATTAAAGACACGCACGGCTCACGAGCAAGTAATTGAGCATGAAGGGGCTCAAACTCAAAGACGCAGACGAAGTCGAGAAGTCATAGGTGCGACGAAGCTCGAGGTGGCTCTGTTGCTTCTGCAGAGTCACAAGTGTTCGGGACAACGGGGACTAAGAGTGTCAAGCTCACGCCATATTGCGAGATAATCGCCGAAAGAAATCCTCAATCGAATCACACCTCTGCTACAACAATTGTTCTTGGCGTGAGGGCGGCAATATAAGTGGATCACCGGAGGGCTCATAAGCGCCGACGAAGAACAGCCCACATCTGAGCAGCATGATCAAGCCGAATAACCTCTCCTGCCAGATGCTTTTCCATACTAGCAACAAGAACAGCCCCAGCACGAGCATCTTCATCCAACCAAGTCCGATAAGCCCGAAAATGAGACATGTAAGAGGCCATATCATCATCATAAGCTTCGCGCAACTTCTTTTGTTCCTTTTCAGAATTTTCTGGAGGAATCACCGGCTGCACTGGACGATCAGGCAATGCTGGACAAGGTAGCTCACCACTAAGAAACTCCCAGAGTCGGAGACCACGCATATGCCACCGCATATGTGGAACCCAGTCATGATAATTGGTGCCATCGAAAATCACTGGACAACGCGGGATTTGCGCGCCTCCAGAGGGAGGAACAGGAGGAGATGCCATCTTTCTTTCTCCAGAAAAGCAGAAAAACAGCAGCAGCCGAACGGACGGCAGGGTAGAGCAGAGCAACAGAGGTGGATTTAGCAGAGCAGAGCAGCAGAGGATGCGAGAGGGGCGCGAGCTGCGCGGGAGATGAGCGCGCGCAGGAGGAGAATCAAGCGCGTGCGGAAAGAGCGGGGCAAGGGCGCGCGCGGGAACGGAGGAAGTTCGACGGCGGGGCCGCGCCGGCCGCAGAAGGCGCGCGATGGCGGGATCGCGCCCGGCCACGGAGAGTGCGCGACGGCGGGGCCACGCCCAGCTACGGAGCGTGCAACAGTAAGAGCACGCGAGGGAGAGAGCCGACGGGCGACGGAGCTCCAGGCAAGTGCAACGGGAAGAGCGCGCGAGGGAGCGAGGTAAACCCTAGACCCTAGGCTCTGATACCATGTTAGAAGGAATGAAGCTCACTCTATTCCTGGGGGCAACAGCCCAAACATGTACATGAGTTGGGCATATATGCATCTAAGCCCTTATACAAAGAGGAAAATATGCTATACACCATATATATCTAACAATTAGATGCTTGTTTGCTCTTTTTTTGTCATCGTTGTCAGTTGGACTGTTAACGATCCATTTTTGACTGAATGCCATCATTATCAGTTGGACTCAGCTGGCAGAAGATCAGTCTAAGATTATATCATTGCTGTTCACACCCATTTGACTTGTATTCTGTAAGTTGAAACTGCCCTAAACAGTGTTGGGCCAAAAAATGCCAAAAGTTGGCACAAGCAAATAAACACATGGGAAGTGAGTGGAAAAAGTGAAGTTGATAAAAATTGACGGCAGAAGAAAAATCAGGGGTCCCTTTAGTTCCAAAAACAAAATTATCCTGATATTGACGTTGATGCCTTTTCAGTATCTTTTTAATGAAGAACAAATTTGTTCTTTCATTTGAAAGAATAATATGTAGTTTTCCCAATAGTTCACTAATCTTTAAACTAACTGGTTGATATGCTTCTCAATATATATGAAACTGCGTAGTTACATTACTCTTCTATATTTTTTTTCTTGAACATACTCTTCTATAATTTGAGTGCAACAATAACACTTCTGCTTCCAAATGTGTGTTCCAGAACTGGCAATCCATGAGATTGATACCGCATCTACCATAACAACACTAGCACTGAGGGTATTCTTGTTGGATTTCGTAATTTGATTTCTTGTATCATGATTATGTTGTGCATTCTTGAATTTGGACCATTGCATCCAGCTTCAGCCTAAGTTTGGCCTTTTATTTACTCTTGTACCTTTGCTGCAGCCTCTGAAATCTGAACCAGTAGCGAGCATTTCGTCCCTTTGTTTTGTTCTTTGAATCAAGGAAATACATTTGTCTGATTATAAACTCAGTTTTTTCCTTCTTATTTTATGAAATTAACCTTCTAGGAAGATTTATAACATGTCATCTAGTTTATTGCATTATTACTGAAGGATTTCATTTTGCATCCCAGGTTTTAGGGAGGACAATTGACCTAAGAAGCATAATTACTCAGAGAATGAACAAAATATTCAGGGAAAATATTGACTTTTTGCTTGAGCGCTTTGAAAATGGAGATCTATGTGGTGTTGTGGTAAGAATGTTTTACTTTTGTTTATACAATCTAATTGCTGCTGCTGGTAAATTATTGTTTTGGAACCACTTTTTTTTGTCTTCTCAAATTAGGAACTGCAACAACTGTTGGATATTTTGGAGCTTACACACCAATCAATATCAAGATTTCTTGAATTGGATTCTTACTCTCTTATGCTTAGTGAGATGCAAGAGAATCTTTCGTTGGTTTCTTATTCAAGTCGCGTCTCTTCTCAGGTTTGGGACCTTACCATGTTACACTCATGAGTTCGATTAATGCGCAATACATGTAATAATGATTTAATCTTACAACTTCTGGTGATCATGGTCTATAATATGCCTGTATCAGCTTGTACTTAATTTTTTTTTCTTGAACGACGCATGAGAGTAGAGTGTCATTTCATTAAGAAGAGAGTGTGCTAAATATACAACGCACACACAATACACAATAGGGTTAGTATTGTTGAAAATACAGTCGTTTTGGTCATTCGGTGTTTCCAAATATCCCAAGCTCTAGTATGATCAAAGTATTGAGGCCTTTTCTGTGCTCCTTGTACAATCTCTTGATTGTCCTGTTCCACCAGCTGGAGAAGGAAAACAACATCTGTGGTTGTGGAGATAGGGCTTGCAGTTGAAATTTCTGAAAAACAGTGTACCACACTTCCCTCGTGACTACTTTGGTTGGCAGGTTCTGAAAAACAATGTTCTTTTTTGGTTGGCAGGAAAAAATAACAATCATTGTTTTTTTTTTTTGAAAAATGCAGGAGAGCTGCAATTCATTGCATTAATAGAAGGAAAGTTTGTTAGGTTACGGGCCCTAGCTGCCTATACAACTTACAGCAGATGTGCCACTGTCATGAAAAAGATGACCCAGATAAACTACCACACCTGCCTACCACTCAACTCGTGCGTGCACGCACCAAAAAAAGAAAAAGAACACTACAGGGAGTAGGCCCTGTAAGTCCCTGTCTCCCACAGTACACACAAAGAACCTTCACTAATCATTACCAGTCATTGATGGTTTTTCAAATCCTGGATTGTGCAACCAGTGAATGATGTATTGTTTGTTGGGAATTACTTGAGAAAGAGAAACAATTTGATAGCAAAATCTTGCTTAAAAATCACATTAAGGGCTTGTTTGGTTTGGTGGGGATTGGAGGGGGATTGAAAGGAATTGAGGGGATTAAATCCCTTACAAGTCAAAATCGCTCTCATCTCCTCCAATCCCCTTCGGAGGGGATTAACCGAACAAGCCCTAAAGAGTGCATTGCATTATGAAATGCATTTTTATGCTTATCCCTGCAAAATTTGCTGTTTCATCTAATCAAAATGATGCTATTTTTCTGGTCGATCCAGATATGGAGTGAGATGCAGACAGATTTCTTGCCGAATTTCATCTTATGTAATACCACACAGCGGTTTGTCCGATCCATAAAAGGAATTCACCACTCTTCGCATAGATCAAGTGCTTCTACTGGGAAGCCCTACTTCTATTGTGGATCACATGTAAGCATTAAATATTGTTATGGACTAATGATCAGAGACATCTCTACTCTAATTTGGAAACTGATAAGTTTTACTTATGGCGATTCACAAGATATTATAATATGCATCTTGGACTAAACTATGTCTTCCATTTTTACCACGGTGTTTTACAATTTGTACCTACCAACAAAGCTATACTTCAATTTGTGCTACTCCATGCTCTTGTTTTCTTTGTAGGATTTGACCATGGCATACCAGGGTCTTGCTGGGCTGTACCGTGACTTTTTTGGAGTCCCTCATATGTTTGCAGTTGTTAAACTTCTTGGTTCCAGATCATTGCCTGCAATCATCCGTGCTTTACTGGATCATATATCAAGTAAGGTGAGTAGTAAGGAGCATTGTATTGTGTTATACACCAGAAGGCACAAAATTCAAACAATACACTTCAATGGATGAACAAGCTTGACATCTTTTCATCTGACAGCAAAATAGGAGACACCTAGAAAACAATCAAATGTACTATGAAACTAATGGTTTTTCTTCCTTTTTTAGATTACAGGTTTGGTACCGAAAATAAATGCACTGCAAGAAGCATTACCAAAATCTATTGGGCTTCTTTCATTTGATGGTGGTATAGCAGGTAACATGTTAGCTGGTGGCAATCATGGTTCTAAATTCCATTGTGAATGAGTTGTTTCTTTCTGGCTCCCCCAAATGTGGGACTAATACCCCATAACTACTGCACTATCCCTTGTTGCCCTGTTTATTGTGCAATCAACCCTATCTACTTCTGTTCACTGTACTACAAGGGGAAAATATATGTTTACAGAAGTTCCATTTTGAACATGTATTAGGCATGATCATCTCTCCAGAACAGAGCTATCTTTGCAACGTATTATCTTTTATATTGTGGCAATTTGGTGCACATTTTTTAGGCTATTAGCTACGGTGTTAGGTTCTAATTTAAACTTTGGTGTAAATCTGGTAAATCCATTTTAGAGTATGGACTAGCTGCAATTTCTAGTTTTGGTAAGTCACTTAGCCATCCTATATAGCATGGGCTTAGTCAGCACTGTTGTGTAGTCAAATATCTTTAAATTTCCTTTGTATTTAGTACATACACCAGAATGCAATAGTTCCATGCCAAAAGACATCTCTAAGTTCTAAGAACAGTGGAATCCTGCCTTTATTGTAGGTTGTCAGAAGATAGTTCATGAAATATTGACGTGGGAAGCGAAATCAGAAGTTAAAACTGAAGTTCTTCATGACCTTAAGGAAATTGGAAGTGCTTTGTATTGGATGAGCATTCTGGACATTGTTTTGGTAAGCATATGGACTTTGTTAGTTTCTCAAATTGTTCTTATACTCGGTTTTTTCTGTCTTTGGAGTTTTTTTTGGTACCTCAGTAAAATAGTTGAACATATCATCGTAGATAAGTGGCACAATTTTGCAGTAACCCTACTGAGAGCGCTCAAAAGTTCCCTTGATCTGTGCACTTGAGGATGTCAAGTACTAAAGTCCGATCCACTGAAGTGGGTAGTTTTAACCTCATTGTGCCCGTAGGACAGTTGAACCAAATACTTGTTTCTGACCTAGCCATGGAGATGTGGGCAGTCTGCTTTTTTTCTGTTTCATCATTTTCTTTTATTTCTTAATAATATATCCTATATTTATATTTCACTTTTATCTGGTTTGAGTTAAGAGGTTCATTATCCTTTGGATAAGAAAAAGGAGAGCTGCGTATCATTGTATTAAGAAGAAGAAACAGGGTTTAGAAACCCTATACAAAACACCACTCCTATGAGAACTCAAAACAGACACGCAGAACAGACTGACTTGACAAAAAACTAAGCTCCTGAGGGCGCAAGGCGAGGAGAGATAAAACACCTCGAGCCCCAGCCAAACTCCAAAATCTCATCTCTTCTAAAGCCAGAGATGCTACATTGAGAAAAAGGTAGAAAGGTCAATATTACTTAGTTTTTTTTTTTTTTTTTTGGAGGGGTTGGCTTGCTCCATGATAAGGAGAATAAACATTTCTCAGGGACAAGTTCATGTGTCTCCTCCAGTGCTCGAACTGTTGCACATGCTGATGCTCTTTCTCCATTCTGCACTTTTATGATGTTCTGTGTAATAACATAGGAAAAATCCAAATTACTCCCCCCAAGTTTGGATAACTCCCTAAATTAACATTTGGTTCGATTTACTCCCCTCAACTATTTTAGTCGATCCAATTTACCTAAATTAACATTTGGTTCGATTAACTCCCCTAAATTAACACGAACAAGTTTGAGTTTTAATTTCAAATTTTGTAGACATCATAACTCATTATTTTTTTAAAAATACATTATGCGTTTTTCGCCAGTATGTTTCATACAATTTTGTATTTCTAGTGTTAATTTATTATTAGATGGCCTAACCTATCAAAATAATGATAGAAATGTAGGAGTATGATGCATTTTTAACATAATTTATGGTGTCAGCTTTAACCTCATAAAATTTGAATTCAAAATCAACTTGGACGTGGAGAAACAAAAAAAATCTTGTGTAAATTGGACCAACTGAAATAGTTTAGGGGGGCAAACCAAACCAAATGTTACTACGTTAGTTTAGGGGGTTATCTGGACATAGGCCAAACTTAGGGGTAGTAATTTAGACCAGGCCAATAACATATGTATTGTTGACCTTTGTTTGTATACTTCATGTATACTTGAGCTTCATACTTTCTGTCATGGATTTTCCCCTCTTGACTCTGTCACATTTTTCTGCCTTTCTCATATTGTACTATTATAATCTATTATGATGTAGGATCTTGATTTATCTTATTGTCATGTATGGTTTTTCTCCAACAGAGACAAATCGACACTACACAGTTCATGCAGTCAGCTCCGTGGCTAGGACTGGTTCCAGGAAATGATGGGCAAGTGAAACATGCCTACTCAGATAATACTCCATTTACCACACTTTTAAGTGCTGCCACCAATGCTGTGACATCTAGCCCTGCGTGCCCAAATCCATCTACATTTCTTGTCATGTCAAAGCAAGCTGAAGCTGCCAGTAAGTCCATATAAAACTTACTGTGCCATGTTGTCTAGTGATATTTGCACCAGATCGATTTTCTCAAGAAAAAAATGATAATTATTTGTGGGCTCTTGCCTTCCAGATCGTAGACTGGGCACGGAATCACTGCCTGTAATGTGGGGGAAAATGGTGTTACCTTTGATGAAACCAATTATGCTTAGGGCTTGGGCCTTACCTGGAAATAGATAGATCCCAGCCTAACCTTGTGATAAAACTAAAATCCAAACCACTGGATTGGAACCCCACCATCTTGGCCCATCCAAGAGGACTTGTGATTCCTTTTCTACTTTTTATTTACACTATTATCAGTTTGCATAACACTAATTTTTTGACAGGTCTGCTGTACAAATCAAACCTCAATTCTGGTAGTGTGCTGGAGTATGCTCTTGCATTCACAAGTGCTGCCCTGGATAGACACTATAGCAAATGGAGCGCAACTCCAAAAACAGGTTTTATTGACATTACTACTTCAAAGGATTTCTATCGCATTTTTAGCGGTCTTCAGTATGTAAGTAAACTCCATAGATTTTATCTATTATGTGTTTTCAGCTACTTACTGTGTGTCCCATTAAAAACCTATTGTTAGAATTTCACATTCATTGTTATTCATTTGAATATAAATTGATTGATTGACTTGATGAAAACATGCTATTTGAGTTGTTTTCTCTCACATCAAGGATTGGCCAATACTTTCTAACTGAACACCAAACAGTTAGGGAGCTGGCTGCTGGTGGGTGTTTGGACAAGAAATTTTTAGGAAACTGAATATTTTTTATTTAGACACTTTGTCTTCTTCCATTTTGTGTTTTTTCCCCAGCATATGATGTAGCTTGAGCGCTATTTGTGCTTTATATTTTCCAGCTAGTGAGTGAATGTTAGACTTTTACTACTTCTTCCTTGTCTTCGAATTAACAGATCTCTCTTTCTCTCCCCTCCAGAGTTACTTAGAAGATAGCATTAACAATCCTTCAAAGAAACAGGAAATGCTGGGTGATTCTGTAGCATGGGCTGGCTGTACGATCATGTACTTACTGGGACAGCAGCAGCACTTCGAGCTTTTTGATTTCTCCTATCAATTTCTCAACGTGGCAGAAGTAGAAAGTGCGACAGTTTCACACTATCAATCTTCAGAGAGGACTAAAAGTTCAAATTTCTTGCAAGTAAGATAATTTTTCATTGTACTTATTTTGGGAGCTTCTGTTTTGTTATTACTTATGGTTTAGACCTGCTACTTTTCTGTAGCTTTTAAATTTCATTTTTAACGTTTTTGTTCTTTCATGAGATCATGATATAGAATCAGGGACACATCCTTTGGCAAAACTAGGTGTAGTCCTAAAAGTTTCTCAAAAAAAAAACTTGATGTAGGGAGAACATGTAAGTGGATTCATCTCTTTTTGTAAGGTATTGAAAAGACAAATTAATTTTGTATTTGTCTTTTTTCATAACTTCCTAATGCTGTTGTGTTTCACCCGAAAATTTTGAATGGGTGTGGAACATGCTTTTTTATGCATGGCAGTTACTCCCTACGTTCCAAATTATAGTTCATTTTGAGTTTGTCCTAAGTCAAAACTTCTCTTACTTTGACCAAGTTTATAGAAAAATACACCAACATCTACAACATCAAATTAATTTCATTAAATTATCACATGAAATATATTTTGACAGGAGAAATATATATTGAATAAATAAATGGTTAAACTGTAACTCGAGAGACCGTGCCATGTCAAATTTCCACTTGTAAACTGGACCGGAGGGAGTAGGTAACAAGTCGTCTTATCACATTACTACTTTATCTTCCAGGTTTTTATGCCTGGCCTGAAATAGTAATTTTATTAGATGCTTCATTTTTTTATTTGGAAATTCATTGCCCCATGTATGATGTCTTTGGAAAGTGCTACGAGGGCATCCTTGAAGCGATGAGGAAGGCTAGGAGGCTCAATAACCATGTTTTCTCGATGTTGAGGGCACGATGCCCCCTTGAGGACAAGGTTGCATGTGCGATCAAGCCAAGTGGGGCACCGGTTCACCGGATGAAGTTTATGAACACCGTTTCTGCATTCGAGACATTGCCACAAAGAGCCACCTAACCAGCTTCCAGGCAGATGTGCATAATGTACTCTTGTATGTGGGGTTATATGTTATGTTGTAAGGTACATGTATATTATGTAGTTGCAATCACCAACGGTGAATCCTGGACTTGAATAACAGAATGTGCTTGCTTGCTGTATATGAAAGGTCTGTTGATCTCAAGAAAAGTTGACCCTGAGTTCTCAAGTTTAACTATCAATTTTGAGACTTTACCCCACTGAACTAAAAATGTACACAGTTGGAGAGTTGAGCCAAAAGACTCATGCATGCTAGTTAACTGTTATTGTCATATGTGGATTTCTCAATCTGCTCTGAAAGTATATTTAATGTATGACATCAGATTAGCTTAACAAATTGTGTTATCTGAGAGCTCACTTCGACGTGCAGTCTTTATTAACCACTCGCCTCTCTTGCTCAGTATCTCGTCGCAACATGCTTTACAAAATCAGTTGATCCAAGCACATGCTGCCTCTTTGCTCAAAAATTTAGCAAAATAACGCCAATATCTTTGCAAACACGGGCACACGGCCGATAGGGGTGGCTCACTGTCCTATTGCGTGCTTTGACGATCATGCATCCTCATCTGGATTGACAGCCATCAGTCACAACGGCCTTTGCGCGATTGGTGTGGATTCTCCAGATTGTTTCTAGAAACATGAGAATCTCTATACTAAGCAAATGGGCTAAGAAGCAGAAATGTATTCCGGATACATCCCTAATCTGCAGAAATGTATTCCGGATATACATCCCTAATCTCGCCATGCATTCCAGTTTGAGACTTGGGAAATCGTCCTGGGAACGGTCATCGGCATGTATGCTCTGGGTCAAGTCAAGCTTTAGCATTCAGCGTTAAAACCAAGATATTGGGATCAGCATGTGGTTCGCAGCTAGTATTGTTTTGAAGTGTTCTTTTTTTGAGATGAGGGCAGCTAATATTTCACATTTCAGGCTCGTTGGTTCAGGTAGACCCACCTCAGTTCCTCACAGCTCAACTGCTTCACTCTTCCTCCAGACGTCCTTGGTCAGAACACCATGACAACTACTTCACTCATTCATTCATGCCTTGAGATGCATACTTGAATGCAAACATTCTTCAATGTACTATATAAAACCCTTGTCTCGTCAATCGTTTAACCACCCAGGAAAACAAAGAAAATATACACAGCTGATCGGGCTGCAGAAACGAGCACATCGAACCAACCAAAACCCAAGATGTCGAGCTTCTTCCCATTTCCATCCGCTCCTCTCGCCGTTCTTCTCATCGTCACGTTCCACGCCTCCGCCATCCATGCGCAGATACCTGCCTCGGCAACGACCGGCGCAGCGGTGGCCGCGACAAACCCGCAGCCAGGAGGCAGTGGCGGCGGCGTAGTAGGCGCGGGCGGGCCGGACGCAGCTCTGGAGCTCTACATGCACGACATCCTGGGCGGGTCGAGCCCGACGGCGCGGCCCATCACCGGCTTGCTCGGCAACATCTACAACGGGCAGGTCCCGTTCGCGCGCCCCATCGGCTTCAGCGCGCCCAGGAACGGCGTGGCGATCCCCAACGCCAACGGGCAGGTGCCAACGTACAACGGCAACACCGGCATCCCGCTGGACACCGGCCTGTCCGGCGCCGGGTTCCTGCAGCCAGGGAACGGCGCCGGAGGCGCGGCGGCGGCGCCGGCGCAGGTGCAGCTGGGCCCCGACGGCCTCAGCCTCGGGTTCGGCACCATCACGGTCATCGACGACGTGCTGACGGGCGGGCCCGACCTCGGCGCGCAGCCGCTCGGGCGCGCGCAGGGCGTGTACGTGGCCAGCTCCGCCGACGGGTCGTCGCAGATGATGGCGTTCACGGCCATGATGGAGGGCGGCGAGTACGGCGACACGATCAACTTCTTCGGGGTGTACAAGGTGGGCACGCCGCTGTGCCGGCTGTCCATCACCGGTGGCACCGGCAAGTTCAAGGGCGCCTGCGGGTTCGCCGAGGTGCGCTCGCTCATCGCCTCCGGCCAGCACGTCACCGACGGCGCAGAGACGCTGCTGAGGATCACCGTCCACCTCGCTTAAGTAGTAACTCATCTAAAGTAGGCCAGCGCTTGTCGGCTGTCGACTGTCATGGCTGCACTGCAGTCGGACCTGCGCTGGTTGTTTCGGACGTGTTGAGGTCTTCGCCTCGTCGGTGCGTGCATGCATGTAGTGTTTGCGTCGGGTGGACGATGCTGTAACTGCAAAAGTTGTATTCGCCTCGTCCGCAGGGTGTACCACCAATTGTTAAATTAAAGCAGTATAAGATGTTGTGTGGTTTATACAAAATATATATATATATATATATATATATATATATATATATATATATATATATATATATATATATATATATATATATATATATATATATATATATATATATATATATATACACAAGACTGACGACGTCCGATCCGGGCGCTGGAGTGAACGAGCGCCTAGCGCGTCGGGCTCGCGAGGGAGCGCGCCAGTAGTGGTTCCGCGCCACCCCGGACATCGTCTGCGCCGCCGGCCGCTTCCCACGCGCATCCCATGTGCCACACCCGATCTATCTTTGAAACATCCAGATGCAACAGTTGCAATATACAAAAGAAGACAGATGAAACACTTGAAACAAGCGTCTGAAACACTTGCGAAAACACGTTTGAAAAATATTTGAAAACCAAGCATATGCAACATCCAGATGAAACACATGCAAAACACTTGAAACATATACTTGCAACATGCATGTATATGCAACATCTAGACAAAACGCTTGCAACATTCGTCTAGAAAAGATGAAATATTTGGAACATACACTTAAAACATAAGTATATAGCCATTACAACATGTGCAACATCTCAATCTACTTTTGCAACATCGATATACAACACTTGCAACAAACCTTGAAAACATCTGAAATACTTGAAACATACTATTGCAACATACGCTTTCAGCGTAGCATCTAATTGCTGCTTAGACAGACTCGTCGACGTGGAGCTCGAAGCCGCGGAGTGTCACTGAGGTCACCGGTGTGGAGCTCGTCGGTGGCATGGATCTCGGCAGGGACAGGCGGATGGAGCACGGCTGCGACAGGAGGCGCGAGTACATAGCGCGTCGGGCTTGTCATGCGCGGCGCGAACGAGGACGGGTCCGTCCCGCAAGCAGGCGACGCGGGCGGGGGCAGCATGGGCGAGTGCAGGGTCTGTCCAGATGGATAGACGCCCTATAAAGAGCGTTATATATCGTGGACTTGCTAGGCGCGTTGGGCTCGCGAGGGAGCGAGTAGTGATCCCGCGATGCCCTATAAGGAGCGTTGTATATCACGAAAACCAGTGAACGTTTGGATTCTCACATCCATTTTCTTGCATTTTTGCCCCCACAAGCCAACAAGCCACAAGGCCACCGCCCGGGCGGCCACAAGTCCTCAGGCCGACGTTGCGCTGAGCCTCTCGCCACGCAAGCGCCGGCGCGGAGATGACCTGAGAACCTGTACTGTTGCTCACAATCTGATGACTCTGGAGTTTACCATGTGAGAAAGCAGCTGTGTTATGATCCTGAACTGTACTAGAATAAACGCTCTTTTGCAGTTTGGTCTAGATGCTCTGATGCTTGCTGCATTTGTGTAATCAATCATACGGGAGGCCAAAAGAAAACTGACCCCCGATTCCTGAACAGTTAAATAAAGGGGCAGTACACCATCTGAGGGTTCACTTTTACAGCGCGGCTACGAATGCCATCTGAGGCCTGCACGCTTACCGTACACCATATCAGATTTCATCGGATAAGCTAGCAAATTGGGAAACTGCATCCTCGAGGCGAGACAAGTGTGCAGCAAACCTATGCTTCAGCTCAGCAAAGTCCGCTTCATCAAAGGCAGTTTGGTCTAGATGCATTACCTTGAGACCGTTCTGCAGCATCGCCATCCCTTCACAGATACCATCTGGCATCTTCCTCTTCTTCGTGCTGGCATCCTTTGCGATGGGCGCCTTCTCAGGCTCAGAGACAACTGGAATTTCACAATAAGCTTCAACCAGCTTCTTCAGCGCTCTCCCCTCTGAAACCAGGAGCCGAATTTGCTCTTCAGACCATTTATCAGTGTGCAAGGAAACCTCTTTCTGAAGATAAGCTCTCAACCCCAGCATGAATCCGTTTTCATCTATGCTCGTCCCTGTGCTTGCATTGTACGAAAGGGCGGCATCTCCAGGAACAGATCTCCAGAGCTGTGTAAAGGATGTGCGGGCAGCAAAGTACCCAAAGGAATCCATTGAGAGGTGCATGAGTGCCCAATGCCGTTCCTTCAGCAGGAGATGATACAGATCACATATTGCAGAACAAAGTTCGTTAGCATCATCTTCGGTAATGTTCAAGTGACCGAGAGTTGACATAAAGGAAGTCATCGACGGTTTGCACTGAGACAGCACTGCATTTGATTTATCAGAAGTGGACAAGAACAGAGTGCGCAACTGCAGAGTCAACTGCTCCATCTCACTGAATGCGCAAAGATGCCTTGTGTTTGAGATAATAACCAACATGGAACTAATGTGCTTGGCAAGGTTATCCGTACTGCTATCTGGTGCAGTTCTATACATCTTTATGAGAGAGATGGTGAACTTAAACATAGCAGTGATGCTCTTCTCATCTACAATACTATCATCCTTTCTTACGCTGCCAAAAAAAAGTAAGGAGTGTGTAAGACAGCCATCATCATCAGAGTGAATAATACTGGTAGTTAGAATAGACTCACCAATGCTGCAATGTAGAGGCTAGAGCATGCACAGGAAGTCCTATCACACCCAAGCTAGAAGTTGGCACATTGATTACTCGATGGTTCTTGGAGTAGCTCTCCAGATAGCCAGCAAAAGAGGTAAACATTTTCTTCACAGCAAGTTCCTTTGTACCATCAGACAATGAACCCAAAGGAAATCCTTCCATCAGCAATGCTAAGTGTAAGATTGAAGACTTGGAAGAGTTTTCACCATTCAGCACACTAGTATATATTTGATCAACAGTTGCAGAAGATGCATAGCTCAAGATCATGCACAATGAACGTGCAACTTTCCGCAAAGCACTGAGAGGTGCAAGAACATCCTCTGGTGATGCAACAGTCTTTAATAGAAGGAAGACTTAAGTAAATTAATTGAAGTCTCAGTTTCAGCATAACGCATGAAGAAACACCATAGCTCTGTAATAATTTCCAAGCAAAGGAAATGGGGATGGAAAATGTTTTCAAGTAAGAAAGCCTCCAACTCATTCCAAGCAGCACTTGAAGCAACAGTAGAAATCATAAAAGTCTTCAATGCTTGTATGATAGAAGTAAACACAGGCTGCCAAACAACTGCAGGAGAATGGTCTGCGCCATTGAAGGCAGGGATTTGGAAGCCAAGGACATAGGAGTAGATGTCTTCTGATGTCAAGATATTAAGAAGAGTCTGTAGCTTTTTAGATAATGCGATGACCACCATTTCTGCCAACCACGAGGAAGCATTGAGAAAGTGCAAAAACACAAGCAACTCAGCATGTAAAAGTGCTCTATTTCTATGATCCACATCTGAATCAGTAGAGAAAATGCAATCCAATGAGGACAAATTTATCTCTCTCTGATTAGCTTGTCCCATGTGATCTGGACTCTTAGCTTCTTCGTTTTCAAAAAAATAATGTGCAAGCTGGCATTTGGATTCTGGTGTTAAGTCAGATGACTTCATAAGTGTATCTAGTAAAACAAATAAAGTAGGCTCCAACAATTCAGCAAGTGCCTCATTTGCTGCTTTCAACCGTGGCTTCTTGCTAAATAGAATGCTTGAGGATGTGATCACCAATGCACAATTGATTATGTTCTTGTATATAATCATTGCTTCAGATGGATATATTGAACAAATCCTTACAGCATTTATTAAGAAAAACTTGATTGGTAGGAATGTCCTTCTGGCTTCAGTGGCACCAAGGGTTTCTAGTAACGGCGTGCACCATGTTTCAGCAGCAACTCTTAGAGATTCTACTGATAGAGATAGAAGGGTTACAATGATTTCTCTGACATTTACTTTTCCTTCAATCATCCCTTTACCACTTTGCAGTAAGGAGACTACACCCTTCCATGATGCATTCAGTAAAGTCACCTGGCTTCCACCACTGGATGCTGCATAGATTCCCAATCTACACATAGTCTGAATAGCGGATGATGTAATCCTGGTGACATCACTAGCAAGACCTTGTTCGTTGTGTTTCACAGTAGCATCTTCATCGGTTATACTCATTGTGCAGTTATCTACTTTTGCAGCCTCAGAGTATGCCCGGCACAGCTTAGTTATTTCATCTAGAAAACAGGTGCAGCCTTAGCGATATCCGGAGCAGCTCCATGAATTTTCTGTGATCATATATCCATCAGAGAGATTATACAATAACATCGTTTTGCAGGACTAATATTGCATGAGTTTGAAAAGAACACCACTACCTCATATTGATATGATCAGAGTATGCTGATAAAATATATGAATACACAAGTCTAGGAAGCTCGTTTCAATGATGAATTTCCAATATTTCATATAGCATCCCGTTTGAAATTGCTAAAAGATATGCAAGTAATCTGAATATGAGCATAATATGAGAGGTAACAAATTTAATTTAATAAGCAGCATGTCAATTACTATAACTTTCCGTTTGATTTAACATTTAAACTACTTTCAGGAATGCGATAATAGCTATGAAAAGGTAACACATAATTACCTACTAAAATAAGGTTAAGCAAAGTCTGACTGAAATTATACACATATATGCAGCTGAGGAACTGGTTAGCAAACGGAATTAAAATGAATTATTTCTCAGTAAATTATCTTTGACTTATACAGGATATATTGCCACTGGCTTTGCCAGATGAACAAGCTAATTCTAACACTGTACAAGATAAAAGTTTACCTTGTCGTTGTCAACTATTGAGCTTTCCATAAGACTTAGCAACTCTGAGATAAAATCACCAATATTATGCACCATATCTACAGTAACACATTTTGCCGTGGAAGGAAGGATCTTGATTGAGATATTTAAGGCCATTGAAATTATCTAGAACCAAGAAACTGCATTTCTATTAGATTTCTCTTCAGATAATCACTACCACTCTACCAGAAATGGATAAAGGATGTAACAGAATTCCATATGCTGTAACAAGAAGTATAAAATCAAAATAGACATGTTCATGGAGAAATTTGCCAAATTATTGCTCTAATATACTATTAACTTCCTTTTTTTTTTGCTTATAAACACTAATTTTACCATAAAAATATCCTGTCCACATATTCTGTTTTAAATAAATCCATGTCATAACTCATTTTTTCTGTCAGTAAATTATGTAATTCGTACTACACAACCCAGAACATGACATTTGATAATTGCAAGGTTCTACCATCTGCCGTCCATATAGTGATTTTCCCCATGACTCTCAGGGAGTCAGGGATAAAGAATCACAAACAATACAGGATATCAGTATTAATATAAGATTTTACTTTATGTCATAAAACATGTGTGGATCTGTGGTCTACTCTAGGCTATAAGGTTACACAATCAGGTAGAGAAAAAGGGCAGCGGAGGATCATTTTGTATTTGTGATAGTCCATCTATAATTAACACAAACTATTTCAGGTAGAGAAAAAGGTTCATAATTTCCAATGACCTCTGGGAGTATTCTGGAGTGTTCTTCCTGTTGAGAATCATCAATAAATTCGACGGACGATAGGAGATGCTTTCCACACCATGAGCTCGCCTATTAAAGATACACCAGCAATTAAATTTGTTTTCATTGGTTGAGCAAGATCGCCCACTACAGTTGGCAAGCAACTTCCAAAAGCAGTTGGCAAAGTCCCTAACAAATTCTACTTCAAACTGCGAGAATCACCTTTGCACCAAGAGCAAGAAATTGCCCCAGACAACCAGCTGTATCTGTACATGAGCATTTCAGAGCAACCTGCAAAATTGACTTGTGTAGCATGCAGTGCGATAGACCTGAACATCCAGAATCATCCCAAGATACCTAAAATGCCATTAAGGTAATACACCGAAGCAGAATAACAGCAAATATTCAGAGCATCAGATAGGGCAAACTGAATCAGCAGCAGCTTCCAGCTGGTGAGACTTACCATCTAGTGTATATTCCTAAAAATACAGGGATGGATTTTTTTTTTTTTTAGGATGGTAAAGGGATGAATACTAAACAATAAAATGAAACAATAATGGAGGAGGGACAAGGATACAATAAGACTGTCAAGTATTGAGCTCAGATCATCCGCAGAATACACAAAGGAACTCTCAAGTCGGTAGATAAGGCCAATTCTATCTTCCAGCACCTGTTACAAATCAGTGTAAAGTTAGCACGATACATTTGACTTCATGGCAGGAGCATGATATTAACATCCAATCGCGGTTTCAGAAATAGAATAGAATATGCAATGTGCAGGAACTCCGAAAGCAAATGGAAGTGAACAGCAAAATGAATCGCTGATTAGCACCACAATGATCGGACATAAGACCTCCAATACAAATAGTGGGGACCGAAGCTTACCAATGAGCTCGAGAAACAGTAAACCTCACTCACACAAACCCCGTTGCTAACGTCTACAGATCGGGCAATCCAGCTAATCCCCGAATCTCAGGAGCGCGTACCCAACCAGAGAACAGCAGCGAACACATGGCGCCATGAACCAAATCAAACCCTAGGGAGAGGGGAATAACGAACGGGCACGGAACGGCACCGCGAAATCGACGCCTAGACGAGGCGCGAGGGATACGACGGCGCACCTCGGAGGATTTGATCGCCTGTAGGAGGGACTCCAGGTCGCCGCCGACCTCCATTGCTCGCTCGCAGTCGCGCTGGCGGCTGGCCGCCTGGCCCCGGGGCGGCGCTGGTTTTTGCCGCTTTCCCGCCTCTTCCCTTGGCGTTCCGCGCTCCGAGCTTCACTGAACGAGAAGCGCTCTCCGTTGGGCTTGGCGTTGTGGTAGGGGCGAACAGGGCCGTGGGCTTTGAGCTGTGTTGGGGGCGAACAGGGCCGTGGGCTCGCGTCTGCACCGAATAGTAAAATACAAATGGGCCTTCGAATCGATTGCTGAGCACGCAGTCCGCTCGGTCCAGGCCTGCTTCGGTAATCATCAGTGATCGCGCCTGGATCATTCATTGGACGGCTGAGGCTGCTGCTCGGTGTCGGTGTGGCTGCTTCCGCTCCCGCTCCCCTCCACCTCCGTAAGGCGAGTTTCAGTGGGGTTCATCAAAGTTTCATGGGTATTAAATAGTCTGATGTGACACTGTATTGATGAAGAAAGATAATAAGAGTTTCATGAGAGTAAAGAGAATTTCATAGGGATAAAACTCTTCTACACTATTTACAAAATATGAATGTATTAATAACAGGGCCGTGAAATCCCACTGAAACTGGCCTAAACAGCAGCTCGCCAGCTCCTCGGCAGTCGGCACCAAGGGGACAGAGCTCTGCCTTCTCGATTCGGTCAACTCTTTCTTTTTTTAGAAAACGGGTTGGATTTATTGATAAGATAAATGAGTTTTTACATCCAGCCCTCTACAAGGGCACCTCTGAAGAAAATTAAAATTACAAGTACATCCATTTGAGGTGCTTCTTGTGGCCTCCGCCGTCGCTGGCCATTGCCGCCGCAACCTGGAACTTTCTCCATCTCCCACAATGAAGAAGCAAACCAAGAATGAAGCTCGTGGGCGAATCCCTGATCAACAAAGACACTTCAATTTTTGGAAAGCCCATCTGTAGCACATCAGAGATGTACAGTTGATCCATTGAACGCACCGGCGAATGGCAAACTGCCGTTTCCCCGTCGTCCCTGGAATCTGACGCCAGTTGCCTCACCGGCCGACCCCAGTCAACGAACAGGAAGCCCACAAGAGGGGTCCAGGAACACCAACCCGCATACACGAGAAGGTGGAAAATAAACCTCACAAGTGAGTCACTACCACTCACAACTCCATGGAGGAAGGAGTTGCGGATCATGACTCCTTGGAGGGACCCAGGGCCAAGCCGGCAAAAATCGAGGCCCTGTACCAAACTCTAAAACATGGTCTACATCCCTAAAAAATAAGACTATAAATAAAATATATGATATATATCACAATAAGATATATCAAAAAATGTATCCTATTCAACTTCTGCTTTCATGGCTCTGTTCGGCGGGACTTATAAGTCGGCTGAAAAGCTAAAACGGCTGATTTGTTGTGAGAGAAAACACTGTTATGTGACTGATAAGCTGGCTGATAAGCTGAAGCGAACAGAGCCATCCTTTAATTGAAGTGCTTCATTTTTTAGTGTTCCTTGAAATGAAATCTTCAATGATATGCTCATAATCAATCTTCTCCAGTAATTTACTCTCAAGTGCTATTGTGGCCAAATCATTAAGTCTTTGTTGTGTCATTGTCGAACGCAAATATGACTTCAATAGTTTCAATTTAGAAAAGCTTCGCTCTGCCGATGCAACGGTCACAGGAATGGTCAACACAACAGAACTCTATATGCAATACTTGCATTGGGAAAATAGTCATGCCGCTTTAGGAACTTTAGAATTTCAAAAGGACCCATATTTTCTTTAGGAATGAAATCTTGAAGAAACTTCAACTCCACATACAAATCATTGGCATCAACATCAGATTTTCCATCTTTTGTAAGGACAACCCCAAGATTATCACAAGAAGATTTCAAACTCGTGTCATCCAATGACTGTAATGTTTCAGAGGTAAATAAGAAATCAAAATTTTGTTGGTAACTCTGGTATTGTTCAAATCTTGTCGTCAGTGAGGAAATTGCTTGATCAACAACAGGTAAAAAATAGCTGATTCTAAATAGGTCCTCTGCAGACTATGTAGCAGCATTTGTGTCATCTAGGTTCTCATCAAAATGTCTCTTTCTTTTAATTTCTCTTCTTTTACGAAACGTTGTACCAATATCCATCTCAAGTGCAATTCCTTTGGCAATCTCTAATGCTTCTAAGAAACCAGTTTCCCTATAACCCTTGAAGAAAGAAATCAACCCTTTCACTTTCTCAATAGCAACATCAATAAGCATATCCTTTGCCTGCAAGTGTTTGCTTACTAAATTAATGGTATATAATACCTCGTACCAAATGACTATTGCCACTATAAATTCATAATCTCCAAGTTCATTGTTTGCCAAGCCCTTAGCCTCACTGCTTTTTTTTGGATCATTATCAACATCAGATACCTGAAATTGAAACGAAGAAAATATGTGTTATAGTTGGAGATAGCCAAAATAAGTACATCATTATCAAATATTAATACAACAATATTGGGTACCTGAAGTAGAGCCTCTCGAATGTTTGTGCACTGAAATCTAATAGCTTTAACACTTTCAACATGACTCTCCCAACGTGTAGCTGATACTGACTTGAGAGTCAATCCTGATATGTTATCTTTCAGAATCTGCCATTTTTTAGTAGAATTAGCAAAAGTTATATAGATGCGCTGGATGATTTCAAAGAAATCCTTAGCTTTACCACAAGTCTTAGCCATATCACAAAGTGTTAAATTAAGGCTATGGCAACCACAACCAGAATAGAAAGCACAAGGATTTACATCCAAAAGTTTCTTTTTTACCCTTTTATGTTTTCCTTTCATATTTGATCCATTGTCATAACCTTGTTCTCTCACATCATCTATATCAAGACCAAGGAGCTTTAGTTCATTCTCTAGCACATCAAAAAGTCTTTGCCCAGTTGTACGTTGACATCCAATGAAGATGAGTCAACGTATCTTATAATTAAAGACATTTGTTCTTGGTGGCTTGCATCAGGAGTACAATCAAGTATGACAGAGAAGTACTTTGCACTCTTTATTTTCTTAATAATTTCATACTTAATAGCAGAAGCAAGCAAGTATATCAACTCATTCTGAATCTTAAAATCAAGTTATGAGCTTGAGTTTCCTCACTTGTAATACGACGAACATGTTCTTGAATAGTTGGGTCAAATTTAGCCAACATCTCTACCAATCCCAAGAAATTCCCATTGCTATCTTCATATAATTTGCTATTAGTCCCACGAAAAGCTAGATTATGCTTGGCAAGAAATTTAACAATGCAAACAATTCTGAACAAAACTTTTCTCTAATGGTCCTTTTCTTTCTCGAGTTGTCGTTGAGCGGCTTTATCAATAGTTTGATCCTTTTGCAATCTACTACGCAACTCATATCAAGTTGTCATACTCAAAACATGATTTGGACTGGTCTCATGCTCTTTAAGTCTAATACCAAAATGTATCCAATCATTAAACCCCTAATTTTCCAACTGACCTTTTCGATGGCCTTTTGTAAATAATTTACAACCAAAACAAAAGACCCTATCGAGTTCCTTAGAATAGACAAGCCAATCCCTATCACAATGCTCTCCATTTGATAAAATTCTTATATAGAATAGTGCAGAAAACCTTCTAGAATATCTATTCTTAGGACCTTTCTGAATTGATAAATCTCTTCTAGGGCCCTTCTATGCGAAAATATCAATTTGTTTATGATCGAGGGAATCCCAATATCTAGGATCAAATATATCAGGCTGAAAGGAATCATTAACATCCGCAATTGATGAAGTGTTCAAGTTAACACCGGTACTATTGCCCCCAATGTTATCAGCATTGTTATCCATTTCAATGTTTGTGTTATCAATAAGAACTTCCTCGACCCAACAATATTTTCTGTCTCTATCTGACCATCTCTAGGATCATTGTCATCATTGGGCGCGTTCGGCTGGTCTGAAAATTTTAGACCAGCCGGCTGCTCCGGCTGCTTCTCCTCACATGCTACAGTACATCTTTCAGCCGCTACCGTATTTCTCTCTCACTCAACCAGCCACTACAGTGTTTTGGCTTCTTTTTTCAGACAAGCGAACGGGACCATTATTATCAAGTGTAGTTCCCTGTCCCTGACCAAGTGACTGATTATCGGTGGACACTTGTGACTCTTTTCTAACAAATTTATCCATAGCACCTTTTTGAGATTGGGTTAAATCCTTTATTCTTTGTTTTTTTTTGTTACGCTTTTGGTAACCAGATTCATACTTTCTAGACCGGTTTGCAGAAGACATGACTACAATCTTGGATTGGAACACTAGATAATCTAGAACCAGAACAAAGATAACTGAACACCTAGATGGATCAGTATTATATTAGTCATCACCCATCAACATTGATTAAAATATTGAAAATTAACCGGACCAGATTAGTATACCTGGAGCGATCGATCACAATTGACAGACCGATTGGCAAAAAGGAAGCCTTCTACAGTTGTACCGGTGCCGATCCTGATTCCCGACGCCGCGGATGCGCTGCGCACCGCCGGCACCGGCGATTGGTGAAGAGGAAGCAGGGCCACACGCCCACACGTAGCGCACCGGAGCCGACACGCGCTGCGCCACCAGCGACGTGACTGCACACTGCACGGCCGACGGGCGACGCGCGACGGATGGAGTCCTGCGATACGACCTAGCACTAGCAGTCTGAGCGTCTGGCACCTACGCGGCACCAGGGCCTATACCCTATAGAAGTCAGTCTGGTTGGTGGGCCCCTTCAATTTGGGGGCCTGTTCCATCGAACCGCTTGCACACCCATGGGCTCGGCCCTGGAGGACCAAACACCGGTCGACATCTCCTCGTCGCCGGTATGCCTGCTAAAATTCCTCCATATACCCGCCGTCGCCATGCCGTTGGTGACGAAGTCCGCATTGCCGTTGTGGACGTGAGCACCGATGGCACAAGAAAAAACATAGAAGGTCGGAACACCGGCACATAGGATGCAAAAATTGAGGCCGCGTTTAGTTTGCCTCCTGAATTGGCGCCGCCGAAATTTTCAGCGCTGTAGATGCACTGTAGCGTTTTGTTTTTATTTAGTAATAATTATCCAATTGTTGACTAATTAGACTTAAAACGTTCGTCTCGTAAAGTGCAACCATACTGTGCAATTAGTTTTTAATTTCGTCAACATTTAGTACTCCATACATGTACCGCAAGTTTGATGTGATAGAAAATCTTTTTTTTTGCATAGTGTCAAAGTTGGGAATTTTGGTGAAACTAAACATGGCCTGAAGGAATCATTGCCAGCTTCCGAACCCGCACAAATGACGCCATCGGCATGCATCACAGACACAACGGACACCGCAAAGACCACGCCACCGCCAACAGAAGCGACGGCAGAGGAGCTCGGGAGGAAGCAAAAGAACTCACCTCCAGCACTGCACCGAGGTCGAAGGATGACACCCGCAACCGAGCCGGAGAAAAGAAACGGCAAATCCCTGCGAACTGCCATGGGAAGATTTATTCTAGGGGGGTGTTTAGTTACCCTAAACTCCTGAATTTGGCACTATGCAAAAAAAAGATTCTCCGTCACATTAAATTTGCGGTACATGCATGGAGTACTAAATGTTGACAAAATCAAAAACTAATTGCACAGTTTGATTGTACTTTGCAAGACGAACGTTTTGAGCCTAATTAGTTAATGTGTGGACAATTATTACCAAATACAAACGAAACGCTACAGTGCGCAACAGGAAATTCGACGTCGCCGAATCGGGCGAACTAAACAAGGCGTAGGTTAAAAGCTATCCTAAGGCCTATATACACCGCATGGTTAAGATCCTCGATCCCTCGTCCACACGAGGCCAAGAAGACCCCTGGAGGTGAGGGAATCGAGGAGCTCACCGGCGGGAAGAACTGGAATCGGCGATGATCTCCTTTTTGCCCGATCTCCTTTTTGCCTTGTTCGCTTGTCTTGAAAAAAGAAGCTAAAACACTGTAACGGTTTGTTATATGAGAGAGAAATACTACAGTGGATAAAAGATGAACAGTATTTTTGTGAAGAGAGCAGCCGGCTATTTTTGTGAGGAGAGCAGCCGGCTGGTGTGGACTTTTTAGACCAGCCAACGCTAGGTCCAATTGGGCCGTGGGCCTGTCCTGCTCGTAGTATATACATAGTAAACCGTAGAAGTCTTCGATCGATTACACAAGAGTATTGTGAAAACATAATGCGAGAGCACCATGTGCACTGTACGAATGCAGCACATAGCATCATCTCCTATGCTTGCTCTAAAAAAACGTACATCATCTCCTAGGCCAAAATAAACTAACTGTCCGTCAACGATCTCCTAAGGTAAAACTAGCAAAACGGAGCAGAAAATAAACATCACGTTTCTGCTGTTTATTACGTATACATACGTCGCCACGTCGGCCAGTTCATCAGTTCGTCGGAAATACAGTGCAACTGTGCAAGCACTCCACAGACCACAGGCCGTACACTTGTGTGTGCCTCTAGAAGGGTGGCAGCAGACGCTAGATGTTGTTGGATCGAAGAAGAGCTTGGCTGGCGATATCTATGCTGACGCATCGACTATATCACCATATGCATCATTCAGACCAAAAAGGGCAAGAACAGAAAGGAATAAGGATGGCTACAACTTACAAGAAACTAGGGATCTGATCACACTGTATACACATCACAGGAGGAGTGCAAACGTAGTGACTGTAACAGTTCTGCAATAATTTCAAAACAAACAGCATTCTATTTTCTTCAATTAGCTGAGAGCTGCAGCGACAATCTCCTCCCCACAGGTGTAAAAGGTTAACGTTTTTCCACGTCTCCAGCAGAAGCATACAAACGGTTTTCCAAGTTACATAGAAACTTGGCAAATTTATATAGCTTTGAAGTAACTCAGTATATGGAAAGCGGCCATCACAATAAGTTCCTTGAACACACAGTCATTCCAACCAGCAACCCAAATATACAAGAGAATACCGACAAGTCCATCTTAAGCACCAAATAAGTAGCAAGCTAAGAAGCCAGTTCCCCATCCACTGCGATCGGTAATATCAGTGCTTATTAGGGTAGGGGTGGTAAGGATGGTGATAGCCAAACGCAAATTCTCCAGGGTCCGGATGCAGCGCATGGGAGCGACAATAGCACATTTCACAGACTTCCGCCATATTGTTATGTCCACAAGCAAATATCTTCTGTACGCCAGGACGTGGAATACCAAATCGACAGTAGCATGTCTTGCAAAAGGAATCCACTGCAAGAAAACACAGGAAGGCAAGCAATATCTAAAAATGAGTATAGTGAACGATCCTGAGGTCTCTGGTGTGTGAGAGGATGGGGAGGGGGAGGGAGGGGCGGGGTTCATACATTTGCCACTAGTACGTGTAGCCCACCAAAGAGGGTAACCCAAGACACTGTAGGCTGGTTCCTCTGAAAACAGAAGGATCAGCAAAAATTAATTTATACAGAAAGCATTAGAATGTCACTAATGAGGTTTATATATACCAAATAAATACACCATACAGACTATAACTGTCAAATGCATCATCATATTCATTCATGACCTATGATAGCACGGGTCCTAAAATATGCACAAAGGTGGAACCGGGGCATTCAGCGGTAGCCTTTTTCTGCAAACGCGGGAGGGTGCTATGGTATTTCCCAGTTTTTACCAACACTTGGCACTAGCAAACGAGATGCATGATCTTCCAGCGAATACATACGAGAAACTAGAAGAGAAGATGCATCGAGCTATAGAGAAGTAGACCATACCTACGGGGGTGCATGTAACAACTCCACGGAAACCATTCATGTAAGCAAGCTCGTAGAAGAAGACAGACCGTGGAGCAGTAAGGAACGAGAAGACACCAGAGCCCTTCTTCCGAGCCACGAAGTTCCCATGGGTCCAGCAAATGCCATTGTGCAAATGGGGATTCCGGGACACGTTGCCAAGAACAGGCTCATAGTCATTGCCCTGACTCAAAACCAATCCAATCATTCACGGAGTAAGGAGCAAGTGTATATACCAAGATAAAAGGGGAAAAAACGCAAGTATACAGATAGGAAGTAAATTCCCTCGAAGATCCACTAACTGGTTTCCGTGTGTCAAACTGAAACAATTACTATGGTACTCCCTCTCTCCTTTCAAAATTATAAGATAAGATGTTTTGGCTTTTCTAGATATATTGTTTTTGCTATGTATCAAGATATAGTGTATATCAAGTACATAACAAAGTTTTATATATCAAAAAAGCCAAAATACCTTATAATTTGGAATGGAGGAAGTATAAACCAAATTCAGAGCGGCAGTTTATCGTACATTGACACATTTAATGATCCGTGCACGCGATGCATATGCAGAGTAGGGTTAGGCAAGGCACGAACCGGATGCTCACGGTTGTAGTGGTCCAGGCAATCCTTGACAAGCTGGCGATCCATAGCTAATTTCTCGAAGCAGCCCGGCAATCCTCGTCTTCAATAGAAGAGAACGACATTGAAGAACACAAGCGAAATCGAAAACAGGATTCAGATGGAGGGCGGTGGAACGAGGGGTTACCGTTGAAGAATGTCGATATCTTCGAAATCCATCGGCTGATTGGGGCGGATGCGGATGAAGTTGGGATTTATTCGAACCAAGAATAGGCGCCACAGCCGCGCGAGGCGCGAGAACCACCCAGCGAGGCCCGGGAACCACCGCTTGGGTGGTGGCCGCGAGGGTATCAATCCAAGGCTGGTCATCTTCTCGGTGTAGTCGAGCATGTTGCGGCGGAACTCCTCCATCTTCACGGACGCCGCGGCGAGGGCGGCGGCGTGCGGGTCCATGGCATCCGGCGCTGGCACGACTGAAGACGCCGCGGCGACGGCGACGGCGGCGGCGGCGGCGCGGGGGCCAATGGCATCCGGCGCTGGCACGACTACGAAGAGGGGAGTAATCTCCGTCTCCGTGAACGTGGCCATGGCTGCTCCGATCCGATCGGCTGTGTTCGGTTGTCTGGTTCGGTTCGTATAGTTGCTGTTTCGGGACGATGTACTGCGTGTGAGGAAAAAAATACTGTTTTAGCTGGAAATTTATGATCGTTTACGATAAGCCATAACTAAATGAATAGGCTGAGGGCGACTCCGGGGGAGCGGAAAAAGACGATGGTTCTTCTTCTTCCCTTCCTTACCCCTTTATTTATCTTATTATTTTACTTCTAAATAAAACGGACCGGAGACGGCCCAAACAGACAGCCCACCCCATGACCATGAGGCCATGATCCAACCCAAGCTCGGATGGTTGCGCGGCGGCAGCGGGCTGACGAAGTAGTCGGGGACAAAGACGAGCCCACCGCCTTTTCTCCACCAAAGCCCGGACCCGAAGCCTGAAATCTTCTTCCTTCCTCCTACTTCCTGCACCTCGCGCAATCAAATCAAAATAAAAAATAAAAAATAGAATTCCTCCGCCTCGGTGGCCTCACTACTCCTCTCCGCCACACTTCCTCGCCGTAATCCTAGCGAAGCGCGGAGGCCGACGACGAGCTCATCGCCCTGCGCCGCCGCCCTCCTCCGTCTGTCTGTTTATCGTCAGGCGCTGCTACCTTTGCTAGGTATACTTACAGTAAAACCCTCACAAAACCCTCTTCTCTCTCGTTTGGAGCGCGGCGAGCTTGGGCGCCTCCCCGGGCTCGCCGAACTCGCCGAACCGCATTTAATGCAGTAGATGAGGGGAGGCCGAGATGGGGGAGGGGAAGCAAATTGCTCCGTGATTAGGTAGAAAATGCGGATTTCATCAGGGATCGTTAGCAGTGTGCGATTTGATCAGGGTTCTTCCAGTGCTGGGTATTCTCGGACTCGATTCGTCTCCCTCCACCAGTGGGAGAATAATTTTCAGGGCCCTTTGGAACACGGGAAAGCAAAATCACAGGAATAGGTAGGAATATCATAGGAATGTAGTTTCAAAACAGAGGATTGGAAAATAATGGAATTTTGAAGGAGTGATGATCATTTGGATAGGCGTAGGAAAAACATAGGATTTCTACCAAGACGCTTTGAGTGGATGTTAGATTTCCTGTACATTTCCTCCAAAACAGCAGTCAAAGGAAAATTTTCTACACTATTCCTATACTCCATTCCTATGAACCAAAGGCATGAACAGTAGAAATTCCTTGTTTTCCCATCGGTACTGCTCCCAAACCTTCTGGTGCCTGCTTTTCCAGAATGCATTGGTACTATTCAATATCTAGCTTTCGCAATAACTGTCGTACATTTTTGCACTTGAAAAACAAACGCTCATCAAAACCTGTTGCACATTCCAACCCTCTGGCATTGGGGCACCCGAGAGGACTGGTTCTCCCCGACCACATCCCAAAATTCTTTATAGAAGAGTGACGGCATCCTATAAGGCCATGGAGCCTTCAGATCACCAATTGCGTCAAGTGCCTGTTTTACTTCATCGATACTAAACTCTTTCACAAGCATAGCGTTCATCTCATTTGTCACTTTTCTCTGCATGCCTAGGTCAATGGAGGACATAAGGTGGAATGAGCTTCTCCCCGGTCATGCCAGCTCCTTCGGCCCAGTTGTCCCATCTGCTGCCTAAGGGTTTCGGTGGGTTTGTTTGATCTCTGCTGTTCCTTATACACGCCGGGTTGTCCCAATTCTGCTGACATTCCTTTCTCTTTGCAGAGGGGTCGTGTGCGCTGCACGCGTATTCCGAGACGCTTACTGTCATTCTGCGCAGGTTACTCGCCTCGGACGATATCTGTGTTGACCTACCAGAGCTGCTACGGGTGTGCCTAGAGAAGGGGGTCCTCAGATCCACAGGTACTTCACCCAAGAGGCTAAAGGATTTTGTCAACTCCGCCAATGGAATACCGCTGCAGGGATCTCTCCCTGATCACTTTGTGCTGATGGGCGACCGGCGTGACCAGGTGGACAACCACCTTGGCGACATCTCTGCAATGGGCAGCAAGCTGTCCTGCACACCAGCTTCTCCGCTCCCTTTCGGTAGCCCAACCTCTGAGCAGGCTGAGGCTGCCATGACTTACCGAGAGCAGCTGTGCTCTATCTTGCAGATATGCCCAGTGGTCATCTGCTATCCTCTCCAGAAACACTATGGGGAGCCTCGGAACGAGGGGGAGCCCTATCGCCAGCTTGAGGGGGAGCCCTACATAGACAACATGCCGTGGTGGTACCTGGGACTGTTGGGCACTCGACCAGTTCATCATTGCGTGACAGCGTTTGGCTATGATTGCCCAGGTGGTGATGTCCGTACAATGCGTATCCATTACCAGGAGAACGCAACTGGGGGCCCCGACGACCAGCCTGGGCGGCACGTAATTGACCCAGACGCAGTTGAGTACTACTATCTTCCTCTAGTCGACACTATTTGCTTCCGCAACAGGCCCGTTGATCAGTGACAAGAGTTGCCTAGGACGTAAGCGCCTATAATCATGTATTGGCCAGAGATCCCAATACTCAAACCTTGTTGTTGGCTTTATTTTTCGTCTTTACCTTGATTAGGCTGTTTAGATTGCTTCATCTACAATACAATTGAACTGATGGAGGTTACTCCGCAAATGAGAAGTCGAGTGGGATTGGTGATGGCAGGTCACCCAGTGCTGAAAGTTGTGCCACGAACTTATTGCTGCAGTAAATTTGCCTTGAAAAGTATTTTTTTTATATGGAAGTGCGCTTTTACTACTTCTGTAAGCATAGTATGGCAAAAAATTTAGCCAAAGTCAAGTTGCTTCGGGGACATCGATCGATATCCAAAACATCACATATATGTGACTGCGGAGGCAGTATTTAAGTCAGTATTTCGTTTCATTTTGCCTTTACTGTCATTTTGGAAGTATAGGAACACTGGAAACAGATGAAACAAGGAATGAGATCAACTTATGCACTTGTTGGCCTTCGCCATTGCTTTCGTAACACTGATGACTTAGTCTTTCACCTAGGAACCTGGCCTACCTCTTTGCGCCTCTCGTTGTAGAGACTCCACAGTCCACATGACAGTTGAGGTCAGTGCAACCTTGTCAGGGTATCAGTTATTATGGCATAATGTGCCGGTTTCTAGCTTCGAAGAAAGTATGGATTGAATGATGATACCTTGACCGTGGCAAAAAAAATATTTGCTGATTCTTTATTGCCTCAATTGCAAAGATGTTGAACCCACATTGATCTAAACGAAACAAAGCTTGTTCACTGTTCTAAACGAGGAGGTTTAATCTGATGCAGTCTCAAAAGAGCAGAGTTTTGGGAGCAATGTCATCCTCTTTGCCTATTCTGCCAAATCCCGCAGCCCGCCCGCCTGCCCGCGCTAGCCGGCCGTCAACCGTAACTGAAAGGAGTCGTCCACCTGACGCCGCCCGCCTCCTCGACAACACCCCGTTTCGCTTCGCCTTCCCCTCCCTCCTTCCTCGCTCCCTTTATTCCTATCGGCGCTCGGCCACCTTCCCGCACCACCAACCCACCACCCGCCCCCGCATTCCTGGGTGCCTCGCTTCGCTTTGCGCGCGATTCGATCCAGGCTTTGGCTGGAGGCAGGCATGGCGTCGTCGCCCGCGAGCAGCTACGACTGCTCCTTCAAGGTCCTGCTCATCGGGGACTCGGCCGTCGGCAAGAGCAGCCTCCTCGTCAGCTTCGTCTCCGCCGCCCACATCGACGATGACATCGCGCCAACCATAGGTACGCGCGCATCCGCTGCTCCTAGCTATACCCCGGTGGATCTCGCCGCTGCGTGACTCCTGTGCGAACTGCCAAGCGTGGCGGCTTCCTTGTCCGTCTCGATTAACGGAACACGACACGACAGCAATAGATTGTTCCTTTTTGTCCCAAGCGGAGAACTGGAGGTTACTACTGGGCCGCGTTGCTGTTAGTAGAGTACAAGTAATAATACAGTAACGTAATTACGTTCGTTGTCAAATGCTCTTGCAATCTTTGGGAAGGGGTGAAGGGATCACCACACACTGAAACGTGCCAAGGCGTTGCCCACTAGCAGAAACTAAGGCTAAGATACTTCTCTGCTTTACTGATTTGAGTAGCAATCATATTCACAGGTGCTACCAATTTTTTCTGTGCACTCGCTATTGATCAAAGCCTGAAATACGGCACTAAGCAGTAAGCACTCACATTACCGGCAGGCGGCTCACGAGAAAAATGAAAGTGACTATTTTGGAATGCTTCTCACAATGGATTAGATATTTCCTGTGATTTCCAAAAGCAATCATTGTGGAAAACACGAGAGTGCATGTTTGATGTCTTTTTTTAGCCGTGGTAAAAACTTCGAAACGCTTTTGTAGTTGATAATGTGCAAACCTCCTATATCTTCACTCTGCATAGAGGCTTATCATCTAAGGTTTTATAATTATTGTTTCTAACAGCTTTTAACCTTCCCCTAACTTTTAGTCTACCTTTTATTAAGATAATAGGTTGGCTTCCTTCCTGTCCCAACTTTTTTTTTCGAAAGGCGGGAAAAAACTTTTGCTGGATTTTTATTAGACGATAGAAAGGGAAAAAAAAAGAGGTGTTACAACTTTTTTACAAGCCCAGACTCAACTCTACTAGACCCAACCACCGTATAGAGAAGTAAAAACAAAACGAAGCCGAGGGCTTGTTTAGATCCGAAAATTTTGGTAAAATGGCACTGTAGCAATTTTTGTTGTTATTTGGTAATTAGTGTCCAATCATAGTCTAATTAGGCTTAAAAGATTCGTCTCGTGGATTTCGTCTAAACTATGTAATTAGTTTTATTTTTTATTTATATTTAATGCTTCATGCATGCGTCCAAAGATTCGATGTGACGGGGAATTTTGAAAAATTTTGTAAATTTTTTTGCAACTAAACTGGACCTAAGTAAGAGAAGGAAAAAACGAAATAAAAATAAGGCACTACTGTTGAGCTTCCGTCCCAACTTTTTTATCCTGTCAATTCAAGCCGTCCACATGCCGTACATTTGTGTGCGCCTCTGAAAGGACTTATTAGCCTTCATCTCCCTCACCACCGACAAATCACTCTGTCCGTTGCACTGTTAGGGCAGCTCCAGTGTTGGGCCAGAAGCGAACCGAGGGCATCTGAAACCGAACCATGCACATTGGAGCATCAGATTCAAAAGCGAACTCCAAACACGGTTCGGCTGCTGCGGCATAGAATATTGGGTGAGATCTCAACAGACATGTTGTAGATGGTGGACCTCACACCTAAAAAGCACTAGCTCAAAAATCGATGTTCACGCTGTGGTGGCTGAGCAGTAAAAAGGTCCATCGAACTTTGCCTGCCCCGGTTCGAATACGACGCTGGAGGTGCTCTTATAGCCACACTCCAGCATGCACCCGAGCGTAGCCAACTCGACGATGCAACTGGTGAGGCATATTCGATCTTTTTGAATCTTATATTGCCCCCCAACTTTCTTCCTTCTCGAAACTGGTTATACCATTCATGCGTCAATTCAATTTACTTCATTCATCTGCAGCACAAACTGGTTGTTTTCTTCTTCCTCAGGATTCTAATAATCGAACCCGTTTGTTTAATTTCCCTAGCCGGCCCAGTCTGCACGGAAAGCCGGCGGCAATGCTCGGTCGCGCCGGGCTGTCCAATCGAAGGGGCCGTGCCCGTGTTCGCTGCGGAACCTCGCTATCCTCGCCGTGGTAGCATGGACCTTCTTCCTCTACCTAGACTTCTCGGTGATCAGCGGCACGGCGGAGGTGAGCAACGGCGGTGACCCGTGCCGGGGACGGTACATCTACGTCTACGACCTGCCGCCGCGCTTCAACACCGACATCATCCGCGACTGCCGCGAGGCCGGGGGCCGCTGGGGCGACATGTGCGCGTTCCTGAGCAACGCCGGCCTTGGCCGCCCCCTCACCGACGACGGCACGGACGGCGGCGAAGCTGGGTGGTACGACACGCACGAGCTCGCGCTGGACGCCATCTTCCACAACCGGATGAATCGGTACGAGTGCCTGACCAACCGCTCCGCTGTGGCCTCCGCCGTGTTCGTCCCGTTCTACGCCGGCTTCGACTTTCTCCGCTACCAGCGGGGCTACGACAAGGCCACCAGGGACGCCGCGTCGGCGGACCTGTCGTTTTGGCTCACGGTACAGCCCCAGTGGCGGCGCATGGCGGGGCGCGACCACTTCCTCGTCGCCGGCCGAACAGGGTGGGACTTCCGGAGGAGCGGCGGCGGCGGCGGCGGCGGCGACGCGAACCCTGACCGGGGCAACGGCCTCCTCCTCAAGCCGGCCGGCCGAAACATGTCTCTGCTCGTGCTGGAGTCCACGCTGGAACACGGCAGCGACTTCTCGGTGCCGTACCTGTAACAGTGTTTGGCTTCCACTAATTGTATTTTATTTCATAAACATGTGCATCATCTATCTCATCATGTCATTGTTACTGAAACATGTATACGCAACATTTTCAACTGTGTGTGTTTCATACTTGATTGTTGTGAATAGAAATGGTGTAACCTGTGAATGCAACATGAATTTCTCACACCTTGAAACATGGCAACACGGTAGTAATATGACAAGTATAGAATAACAACCAAGTCATAAAACATATGAAACATTGAATTGCAACATTTGAGTGAATTGATCGTTTTGTTGCTTCATCACATGTGATCATTAGAAATTTGTATAGCACGTGTGTAGAGTGGTTAATTAGGGTCTAATACACCTTAACTACACTTAGGGAATTTGTTTGGACATTGTTCATATAGATCAAAATGACAAAATTGCCCTTGAGTGGAGGTTTGACTTGAAATGACCCCTAGAGTGCCACTGTTTGACTGATTCAAAAGACCAACATAGAGACTTTGCATGACTGTACACTCTTTACCAAAGTTGTAGCTAATTTATCAAGGAACAAAAGTTGTTTTATGATCATCTCATGAAAATGGCTAGAACATGCTCAAACATGGCCCACAAGTTAGAATTTTATGTTAATTTCACACTTGGAAAAGATTCTAAGTCCTAACTGTATTTTCAGTTTGATTGAGCCACCTTTGGCTTGATGTAACTTCTGATCCATGGCGAATTAGATGTTGATCCTTAAAAAGAAATTGTAGATGGATGGTAGACCTACATTTTTCATGAACACAGTTTTTGCATTGGATCAATCGTTTAGCCGTACCAACACGTTGAAGTCGCGCTGTCAGTCATCATCTTTGAACACTGAAACAAAAAAATTCAGAAAACGTTCAGAGCTGCCGTGGCTGACCGGCGCAGGGGCTGCTCGCCGCGTGGCGTTCATGCTCTGCCGACGCCACCATGTCGCGCGTTCGCGCTCGGAAAAAGGCTAAGCGCTACCGCCGCCGCGCTTCGCCTACTCCATTTGCCTTTCGCCGTCTCCACCGCGAAAGCGGCCGCTTCGCCATCATTGCTGCCGGGAGCTCCGCCGTCACCTCGCTCACACGCCACCGCAAGAACGCGTTGCCCAGTTCGCCCTGAGCCTCGCCGTGTTCCTCTCTACCTCCTCCACGTCACCGTCGTGCCAATTTGGCCTTGGTAAGGGCGGAATCGTCGTTTCTTCCACCGCCCGCCGCCATGGCGAAACTCGTCGGAATTGGTGCTCCACGCGGCCAACCACCACCGTGGCCTTCCCGTCCTCTCTCTCTCTCATGCGCTAGCTGCTGCGTGTGCTACTGATGCTCGGAGAGCAGGCCACTAGGGCCGTAGCACCGCACCTCCTCGCCGAGCATCGTCTTCTTCTTTCGCCGTCCGCCATTCACGCCGTCGTCCTTGCTAGGGGTCCGTAGAGTTTGAAATGAGGGCTTAGATGGGTGCGTCGTGGTGTGGGGAGCACGCCTGTGCCGTCGGGTTCACCGGAACAGTCGCCGGCGACGAGCTTCGCCGCCGCCCTTTTCTTCCCCCTGTTTTCTCTCGCTGACCCGTGGGACCGCCTTGTCGGGCACGACGACTTGACGAGCGGGAGCCCGACTGGGCAGCGTCAAGGCTGGGGCTGCATCTGTGCACAGCAGTTGTGGGCCAGCCGTGTCCTTCGGCCGGCCCAATGATGAGAGTAGGGTTTCAAATTTATTTTTGGTTTATTCTTTTCACAGATTTGTGTATAGATTCAAAAATATGTATCTCCTAGTTGGTAGCTTAATCATGGAGGAATTAGGGATAATTATATCTTTTTCTATGTAGCTCCAAATGGCATGAAATTTTTATGGTGTACTTCTCATATCATGAATAGCTTGTAGTTAAATTTTCATATATTTTGGACACTATATGTAGGAGAAATAAAATCCTCTGGTTTGCATGGATGGATCTTGTGTGTATTTTCATAAATTTTCTATAGATCCAGTAAAGGTAAAATTTGGTGAGTGCTATTCTTATGCTAGAATGATGCTAGGAAAAATGTGAAATCTGTTGCTTGATACTTTTCATTAGGGTTTCCTAATTATGTTAAAAATAGACATGCCACCTGTTATTTTGGATACAGCAAGTTTTGCTTGCCCAATGGCTTTGAAATTTTTATGATAGTCTATGTGAAGCATGAGATAGCTACTGTAATTTTTGTAGATTTTTCTGAACAGTTTTACTATATATTGCTTTAATCACCTAATTAACTAAAGAAATTAGAAAAAGAGCATTAAATAAATTGTTTAGAAGTTGGCACTAGACTTTCTGATGTTTCTTTGGTATGCAAAACATGTTGGTAAACTTGGTTTGGTCCAATTATGCTTTTGCATCATCATTAAATAATTAATTTAGTAACCCTACCATTTTTGGACAGATTCTAGGTTTACTGGAATTCGATTTGGTTAACGTAAAAATCATGCTTTGATGTTTACAAATGATTTGTAGAGAATTTCATAAGCTTTTCAAAATGTCCTCATGCAAGTCATTTGGATTTATAGAACTCTTGTTGTGATTGAATTAAAGAACTGCCCGTGTGCATATGAAACTTTAACTGTTGTTTTAAGTATGCCTTTACTATTTCTAAGTTGTGGTAATGTTCCTAGGTGTTAGGCCTTTAACTGAAGATGATCATCTTTATCTTAGGTTATGCAAGTTAGGTAAGTTGATCTTGTTCTTCAAGTTAAGTTAGATACTTGTTTTAAAGTGATTTGAATAGAGCTATTCTTAATCGGTAAACGAGTGTCCAGTGATGTTTTCGTTAAACACTTACTGTGATTCATTCATCATGAGCATCATGTCATTCCTTATGCATCCATGATATTTATCTTATGCATCGGCATGCAATAGGTGTACCGGAAGGAGTGACCTCTTTGGAATTCGAGGAACCGAAAGCGCAAAGAAGAACGGTAACACACGGGAGGTTCGTGAGGTGCAACCCTTCGAGAAGTGCCGACGAGGTCGCCGTTGAGTGCACGGATCATTTGTCTGTGCAACTTTGTGAAAGGCAAGCCCGGAGCATACTAAGCCTCCTAATTTTCGAAATGCGCTTACATTATTATTGGTACATATATGTATTGTTGCATTAAGTTTAGGTGTTGGATGCAAACACTTGTCGCATTGGTTATCCAATCCTTGTCCGGATATTGATACCACAATCATATGTAGCTCGTGCTCGTGTAGTGCTTAGCCCAGCTTAAACACGGTAGAAGTCGGTAATTTCCTATCACCGCGAGATATAGGAAGATACATATGGCACGGATGGCTATATTTGCTATCGTGGAAAAGAACCGATCTTAATGTGAAATAAAGACCCACGGAGGTTTGCCGGTTTGCGGTGACTCCGTCAGTAGTCGATTAAGGACCGAAATCTTGGAGCCTTTCCTGTTCATGTTGAACGATGCCTCTCTCTTAGTTGGCGGGTCTCGAGACCCACCATGAAGTCGAGTAGCTCACCTCGGTAGGGAGTCGATAAGTATAAAAGTGCGCCTCTCGAAGGGAGCCATAGGCGTGAGTCAAAGGCGGTGATTTAAAAGTCCCGACCGTCCCCGCGTAAGGGTAATCCACGAGTCTTGGGCGCTGATCGAACCCGTGAATTTGGTTCCTGAGTTATTCCAAAGGTGACCCACGGCTACCCTTGCTAAGTATGCCAGGGTGAGAGTTAGGAATACCCCCTTAGCTGAGTTGTAATTCGATTCGAGTCGCCGTCTCTCCCGGTTAGTGAGAACTTGACGGGCTTATCTCCAATGTAGATACACTAAATAACATAATGGTTCGAAAATGATGATATGATGATGATGACCCTTTATTATACCTATATGGTTAATATTGTTTGCTCCTAATAAGTGAGTGCTCTAGTACAGGTGCTAATCTAGTGGATAGGTAAATGATAATAAGCTTGATGCTAAGTTTTAATTGGTCACTATATTCATAAGCTCTTTTATGCAACTGTGTCAAGCTAGCCCACCTCATAAGCCTTGCATGATCCTTGGTGTCTTTTATTTCTAGTTTTGATGGGTAAGTCTAGCTGAGTACCTTCTCGTACTCAGGGTTTATCTCCCACCTGTTGCAGATGACCAGTTCTACTTTGGTTGCTGCAAGTATTGCCTTCTCTCGGCTGAGGATGAAGACTAGACCGTTGGGCGTGGTCTCTACTAGTTCTCGTACCTGATGATGCTTTTGTGGGACATGACTCAGACTTGGCAATGTATTTGAAACTATGAAGTTATGTACTAAACTATGTTGCTTCCGCAAATTTGAACTTGGTTTGTAATATTTTATTTTGAACTCTGATGGATGTAATCCGAATGCTACTTGTGAAATGTTGTAACGAATGATGTGTTGTATTGAATCACTACGGTCTTGGTTTGTATGTCGAGAGTTGGTTGAAATCCTTTGTGATTTCTGGACTACCGGAATTATGGGAGCTTAAGTACAGAAATTTGAACGCTTCGGTGATTGTTTTTGTACTTACGTTCTTATGATTTGGTCGGTTCTGTTACAGCTGGCATCAGAGCAAGATTCGACACTAAACATGTCATTTGTGTATTTAAAACAAAAGTAATTGTGTAAATTCTAAATTAAATACTAAGTATTGCCAGTGGTCATATCCCTTATGCCCAAATAAGGACTCTTAGGTGGCTTATTAAAGTACTAACTTGGGGGTTTCTGCTTGTTTATGTTTCATCGTCCATACGGCGTGCTATTGTATGGATGCCATCCGCTTGGGTGGTAATGTATGGATCAAAATACCTCTATGCTCTGGTAAGTGGGAGTTGTGAGAGCATGACCGTCCAACCGTCGGTCTAGGGGAGAGTAGTTGTGGTTGCTCGCATACTTACATGTTCAATCATGTATCTATGAGAGTACTTAAATGTGGGTATCTCTGTCGGGTAGCTGTGATACTAGAGTATGTACATCAGAGGATGTATGTATGAAAGTAT